TTTCCGCGTGACCCAGGCTCGTTCGAACGAAGCTGAACAGCGAGGAATTAATTTCGCCGAGTTCCCAGGGCGGCTACCTTTTTCCGCGATCGATCGCGTTTTACGAGACCGTAACTTGGTCGAAACGATCGACGACGACTCTGTACGCGAGGCAAATCGTGAAATCCGTCGGACGATCTGGGCTGCGCAGCGAAAAGTACGCGCGGGAAATTAATGGCCCCCGGCCGTGGGTCGTGTAACTCTGCCAGAGGACACGGGGACGACAGACGTGTCTCGGGGGCTGCTGATTGTCATTCAAAACGGCACGGCACCGGCGACCGGTGACTGGCCTTGGCCATACGGAAAGGCGACGCTTCGCAAACGAAACGCTTTAATGCCTCAAAGAGGAGACATAATTGCCGGGGCCGTTTCTCTCGGTGTCGTTAAACTTGTTGAGCCATCGCGTCGCTGCCGTTGCTGCCGCCGCCGCCGCTGCAGCAGGGTCAATATCCAGGCGTTCTGGACACATCTCGTCCCACTTTCGCGGCGATTCGTCGCGCAGCACAGTTTTTCGACTCTTTCGCCAAAACGGATATCCTCGTTTATTTTTTCCCCGGAAAAGAGGACGCCGTTTATCGTTTACCATTCGCAACAGCGTACACACATGTTTTTCATTTGCTTCTCGGACGGCCGAGATGCGTTCTTGGAAGACAAAGCGTTCGGTGAGATCATCTCCGTCGTGTACGCGCGCATAGGGGCGAGCAGCCGTGCAAAAACATGGACGGTTTTACTTTAATTTCAAGTATTAACCCTTCGCGCCCGAGCGGTGACTCAGAGGCGCCACTAAAATTTGTTACGTCACGTTTTAAGATCATTTTTATATTAACCCTTGGGGGACCGAAACTATTTATTTCCAGTTTACACACTGCCAAGACTGTTTTCCAGACGAGGAGAAATTTTTTACCGAAAATTTTGGTATCAAATATAGAGAAGAGATATTCGTTTTTTAAATAAAACTTCGTTGATATATTTTCATCGAAACAATCGTACCTAATCTTCCAACGTTTCCTGCTAGATTTTACGGTTTTATTGACTTCTGCCGCGTGTATGGCGGCATTGGGCCGTTAAGGGCTAACAAAGTTTGAATTTGAAAAATTGTTAAAAGTGTAACTGTTGCGCGAGTCCCAAGAGTCAATTTCATATGCATATAGAATAAAGATACTATAAGTTAACAAAATTATTTTATAGTTACTGTTAAAATACCGTCGGTCGCACGTGGCTGCGGCGGCCATATTTTCGTGGAGAAAATGAAGGGCGAAACTGAAACTGTTTCTTGTTCAAAAGAGTGTCTTCGTTTCGATACTTTTCACAGGTATTAATTTTTTTTCTTTAATAAATTAAATTCTGTGCTTTAAAAATTCAGATTCAGAGATTAAGAAACTTCGTGAAACAGTTTGTCATTGTCAATGTAGTGAGGAAATAGTGGACGAAATAACGTTATTCCCGAAACAAGGGGCAAAATAAGATTATCTGCAAAATAAAGGACAAAACGAAATCATTCGCAACATAAACGATAAAATTAAATCATTCGCAAAATAAATGACTGCCCTCTTAATTGAAAAACCTACGGTCTCCGTATGCAATATGGGCGACGCTAATGTTCGACTAGTTTACAAAATTCATTTTTCTCATAACACACTCGAATAAATCGATTTTAATTTTCTCCTTCCAATTTTATCGATTCAATCGCTTCGGTGCTACGATATTATAATTTTTCGACAGTTAATACGTTAAGAACGCAAAAGGTTACGGAGCATATCGAACGTTTTCACAGATTGGAAAGAAAATAGGGCCATATCGAATGAACGTTAATTGGGGTGTTAAACGGGATCTCGTTGTGAAATCCTGGAAATTGCGCGTCTTGCGAGAAAATCGGAGAAGCCGAGAGAGTTGCGGCCGAGAAACGTGTTTGAATTTTTATCGCGCATTTTCTGCTCCGCGAAGAAACTGCGAAACGGCGCAATTTCTTTGCAATAACGAATTTTAAAGATAAACTATATATAGCCGCCGCTGCTAAAGGGTTATCTGTATCTGAGCAGTAATGAGCGTTAAAATCCCTGCGCACGATTAGCGAGAAACCCGAACTTCGGTCCGAGAGGCTGCTTTAACTTCAAAGCGTCCGTTGAATCGTAGTCGACGGAATTTGTGCGCAATATTTAGCGACTCTCCTCGGGCCCGATGAAACGTTCCATTTACAAATTATCTTGCAACGTAGCGCGCGAGTGCGATTCGTATGTATCTAGTATAGTAGAGTAGTATGTATCTAGTATATTATATATAGTATATTAATATAGTAGTATATATATATATAGTATATTATATTATTATTATTCGTATATTATATTCGTACGTGTACGGTAACGCGGTTGAATCGAAGCTGCGTTCAAATTCGACGGAATATTTTTTTTTAATGCAATATCCATCGGACGTTCATCGGGCCCATCCGTCTTTGGAACAAAAACGTTCGGAATCCATTCACCGCTCGATCGGCAGCTCGAAGTTCGTTCGAACTAATTCCGAAGATTTTACATTCGCCGACCCGAATGCGTTCGCTGCGAACCGAATTCCGCGTTCGAATTAATTCGAGCAGATTAGAACAAACTTGGGACAATTAGCGAATTCATTCGCCTCGCCTCGAATAAGTTGGACGCGCTGTGTATACGCTGGAATTAATTTCAGTCGGCACTCCGCACGGTTGAAATATAACTTGATGGGTTTGAAATTAAGTCCGACGAGTGCGAAAAACCTCGAGGAAGCCTGCACACCTGTTTCAATTAATATCCTGTTCTCATTAGCGAATTATATTACAGCGACGATCTCCGGGAAACGGCTTTGTTCGAGAGGATCTCCGCGAGAAGTCGCGTTTAATCTTGTAATTGATAAATATAATTTCAAACGCAGTCGTTACGAAGCGCTTTCTAAAATAACCCACTTCGGGCACGTGAACATTTTTAGGATCGGTCCCCGCCGTTTTTCGAGAAAATAAACGCAGAGACATCGCGTTTCCCGGCCTTCCCCCGCCGACGATAGATAAATACCGATGATTAAAGAAGAACAAATACGATACGGCAAACAGTTCAGTCGTTCCACGAACGTCGACCGAGACGCGTCGAATGCTGTTTAGTGACCACAGTGCGAGCGAGGATGGTTCCGCGAAAGTCCTGGTTTTTATTAAGCGGTGGCGGCCTGTGTTCGAAGTAATCCTCTTTTAGTAGCTCTTAATTAACTTTCAGCCCTTCGAGTACGAATGTCGCCGTATCGCCGACGTCGGGCACGCGTATTCGACGCCTAAGACGAGATTAACCCCTTAACGCACAGTCTTTTTGAAAAAAACCGGCCAAAATAAATCAATTCTTTTAAATGTAAAAAGACACAATTTAGAATTTTGTCTTGGCAAAAAAATTAAAAAAATACAACAACAATCAAAAGTTCTATTTTAATTTTGGATTTTGATCCACATTGCCGAAAAGAGCCGAATATATATATTAATATTATTATATTATATATATATATTTTTTATTCTTGAATAAATAAATATTATAGCTTACAATCCCGTGTAAATGATAAATATCAATAAAACGCCGCTCGAATTATCTCGAGTGTGCACAGTTTGGCCTGTTTAACGCGCTTGAATTAACTCGAGCGTACAAGTTAAGGGGTTAAACAACATTTTAAATAAAAGAAAAATAATATCTTTTCTCTCGGTATATTTATTCGGCTCGGTATTCTCGTCGGCAAAGGGTTAACGACTTCTTAATATTAACGTTATGCTTTTCATACTTTTTTAATGCGAAATAATGTCTAAATATTACGCTTTTATAACGAACTTATGAAATATTTAAATTAAAATAATTAAAATATAAAATATATAATATAAAATATGAGATATAAAATATAAAATATAAAATGTAAAATGTAAAATATAAAATATAAAATAATTAAAATAATCTGAAAATAATCTGTGACGGATGCTCGATGGAAGTCAACGTATAGTCACAGCCGAACGGATGTCCGCTGCGAACTTGACATTGCGAGACTACGCGCCGCGCCGCAAGCCCGTGGAAAATTATAACAATCGTGGCACGCGGTCTTCGAAGCGTTCTGTCGAATAATTACCGATTTTATACGCGAATGTTCCATTACGGTCACGTGCCCCGACGGGAACACAATCGTCGGTGCCATTCTCGTTGTCGTCGACGCGTCCGGCATGGAATCCGTCGCGACCAACCCTCGTCCCGCACATTTTGTCGCGTTTCCGAAGAGTAACTGGTCGATGGTAAAATACAGCGACGAACGGCGCGCGGTTTTCTTTGGATGCATTTTGAAAGCTATCGACGCGGCGCCGCACCGGCAACGCGGAAAAACTTGTTTGCTTCGGACGAGAACGTTCCGATGACTTTTAGAAAATTATGGCAGCGTCGGAGGGAGCTTCGTAACAAATCTCGAATAGCGATTGCAATATTTTCGTTCGGCCAATGCAGTGTAGCATTCGTATTCTCGAATGGGATTTTGATACGATGACTTCGATACAGCAAATTCTCCCTAATTAACGCTTATTCGGTAATGTCTCCCTAATCGATGCCGAAATTGTGGAGAAATGGACAATTTGGGAAGAGGTGATAAGATTATTCGAGCCTTGCAGCTCGTTTTTACAATTGTTGACAATCAGTAAATATAGTTAACTAACCGCAAGGCTCGAATAATCGTATCTCCTCTTCCCAAATTGTCAAGTTTTGTGCACAATCTGAGCGTCAATTACGGAGACATTACTATATTCTGCAAAAAAATGGACAATTTGGGAATTTTCTCTTCCCAGATAGTCCACTTTTGTGCACAATCCGAGCGTCAATTGGGGAGAATTTATTGTAAATCGCATCGATGAAATTTATGTATATATTATCGAGATGAGACGTTCGATTGACATTATTTCTAATGAACTTTTTATCGATTCTTTGTTGCAGAAGTTACTGTCATTCTTTCACCCCAAATCCACGCGAGTGGACAAATCGGATAACAACAACACGAACAACTCCACGACGAACAACATCCACAACATGCCGACGCATGAACCTTCGATCAACGCCACGTCTCACGAAACATTCTGTACGTAATAATCTGGGCGAAGTAGAACGAAGTTTAATAGTATCGTGGTTCGACGATTAACCCTTTCGTTACGGGTGCCGACTACAATAATGTCTCTCTCTAATTGACGCTCAGGAGAATGATTGACGAACAGGAGATGCGATTACTTGAGCCTTGCACCTCGTTTTTATAATTGTTGACAATCGGCAACTACATAAATGTGTCTCAAGACTCGAAAAATCGTGTCTCCTCTTCCCCCACATTGTCCATTTTTCTGCACAATCTGAGCGTCAGTTAGGGAGACATTACTGTATAGTCCGCGGACGCGAGACGACCTGTGTGTGTACGGGTGCCGACTATAATCGGCGTTCGCGGGACAATATTTATTTATTTTAGCCCTTTCAATAGAGCTAACTAAATGTGTAGATAACTTAATATTCGTACAATACAGGGTATCCCAAAAATGTCTCGTAATCCGGAAATGGCGGGTTCCTCGGATCATTCGAAGCAGCTTCTTCCTTTACAAAAATGTTCTCCGAGGCACCGTTAACGAGTTATTAACGAAAAACAGTGACCAATAAGAATCGAAGCCCAGTTCCGCTCATTGGCTCGGTCGCCTCGCGCCAGCCGAGCACGCTTCCCATTGGTCACTGTTTTTCGTTAATAACTCGTTAACGGTGCCTCGGAGAACATTTTTGTGAAGGAAGAAGTTGCTTCGAATGACCCGAGGAACCCACTACTTTCGGATTGCGAGACATTTTTGGGCACCCTGTATACTATATCGAAAGTTCGAGCTTTTTCTCGTCGGGTTCCTAATCGTTTGGAATTTTGGTGTTTTCGTCGTCGACAATATAGCTGGGAGATTGCCAATGACACGCCAAGAGGCAATCAAGCATTTCGGTTGGGGTCTGACGGAGTTCGAGCGCGCGGAGATCGAGCAATATTCCGAGATCTGGTATCTGGGCCTGGCGGTCCACAAAATTCACGGCGAGGAGGGTGCCGCCCAAAACAACGGATACGACGACGAAAATGGGAACTACAACAAAGTCCTCCACGATCACATCTCGTACAGGTGAGCCCCCCTCTCATTAAAAGGAAAGGACTTTCCTTTTAATTGACACTCGCGACGACGGCTGCGTACGTTTATTTGCGCCGATTTCACGTTTTTCCATAGCAGCCATAAGCGCGATTCGATCGTTATCCGGGGAGAAAGATCGCGTTCGAGCAGCTCGGTGATCGTGCTCGCCCGATCGGGGCGACGCGAAAGGAAGAAAATAATTGGAACTACTCCGTTGAAAAGACACGGAGCACTCGACGTTTATTGTTCTTTCGTTTAATTATTAATAGAAACTAGGCGCTCGCAAATGAATAACGTAAAATGCAAACGCGAAAGGTCCGACGACGGTCTGTCGAACGCACCTCGATAAAAACATCGGGAATCGAATATTCATCGACTGGCTACGACCCTGGAGATTTATGCAAATTCAGACTTTTCTGGAGCAAACCTTAAAGGACTGAGACTGCATAAATCGCGGCGCGGAATCGTACGATTGAATCGCAAACGGAACAAAACTCGGTTATGCAATGTTAAATTCAAACGTCCAACCATCCGGCGGATCTTTACGCATTTATGGCGCTCTCGCGAATCGATGAAATAACCGCGAAGATGTTCGGCGTCTTCGGCAGAAAATAATCTTCTGCTCGTCCGATTTTTTTAAAAAAGCGATTCGCGATTTTTTCACGGGTTATTTCACGAATTTTCGCGCGCTTACCGCGCGCCGTCTTCGAAATACGCAGATACGAGATCCTGGAGGTGATCGGCAAGGGAAGCTTCGGCCAGGTGATCAGAGCGTGGGACCACAAGACGGCCCAGTACATCGCCATCAAGATCATCAGGTGAGCGAACCACGCGATAATAATTGCGATCGACTCGATCACTACGGTCGCTTTGTCGCGCGCCCGACATGTTATATCCGCTTGATTCCCCCGTTCGAATGACGCGACGCGACTCGCTCGCCGTTGCAGGAACAAAAAGAGATTCCATCATCAGGCGCTCATCGAGGTGCAGATCTTGGAACACCTGAGGAAGAAAGACGTGGACGCGAACCACAATGTGATACACATGCTAGAATACTTCTACTTCAGGAACCACTTGTGCATCACTTTCGAGTTAATGAGGTACGTGGTGCCCGGTACAACATTCTATTTCTCGTCTCCTCCGGACGCGTTCGGCCTCGAAACACCGCGTGCGCTTAACAAACTTGAAATACAGGTAATCCTCCGATAACACGGTAGAGATAGGTTCATAGAAAATGTCCTGTTGCGTGAGACCCTGTTATACGAGACCCAGAGTCGGTACAGAAAGGGCGGTTTCGTTTCGAAAACCTGTTAAAAAACGTTCTTTTTTAAATTCTACAGAAGCAACTTGACTTTTATTAAAAATATAACTTAACACAAAACGGAAAGTAAAACGGAGAATATTATTTTCATTTAATTTAACCTTAATTTCGGCTTCTTTCAGCGGAAGGGGGTATATACAAGGTGACCCAAAAATTTCTCGCAAACCGGAAATGAGAAGTTCCTGGGATCATTTGAAGTAACTTTTTCCTTAGCGAAAATGTTCTACGAGGCTTCGTTTACGAGTTATTAACGAAAAACACTGACCAATGAGAGGCGAGCTCGTCTAGCGCTTGGCGGCCGAGCCAATGAGCGCACGAAGCTCAGTTCCGCTCATTGGCTCGGCCGCCTTGCGCCAGCATATCTCACCTCTCATTGGTCACGCTTTTTCGTTAATAACTCGTAAACAAAGCCGTGGATTGCATTTTCGCCAAGGACAAAGTTACTTCAAATTACCTCAGGAACCTCCCATTCTCGGATTGCGAGACATTTTTTGGACACTTGGTATAGTAATGTCTCTCCAATTGACGCTCAGATTGTCCTCAAAAATGGACAATTTGGAAAGAGGAGCCTTACGAATTCGAGCCTATTTTTATATTAATATTAATATTCGTATTATTATTTATATTAGTATTAATATTTTATATTAATATTCGTATATTTTTACGAATGTCAACAACTATAAGAACGAGCTCGTTCCTCCTCCTCCTAAATTGCCGTATTTCATTATGCCTTTCTATCGTTACTTCAAGATAATTTAGTTCTTAAATATGTTGAACAAAAATCATGCTGTCCAGAGTGCTGTAGAAATAGCGCGTCGTACAAAGGTTTTCGCAATTTTCTTATCGCGTTAAAGCGAAACAGTGATACAAGATGCCGTGTTATAGGAGTGCCGCCTGTGCTAAAAAAAAGGTTACAAAATTTCGCAGGCTAAAGGGATAAATTTTATAGGATGAAACAACATTTTTCTTTTATCAAAAAATCAACAAAATAAAAGAATATCACGCATAAAAAAAACGAGCGCGTCGCTTTGTACACGTAATAAATTAGATAAGACGAACGACCGAGCCATCTTTTTCCGCTTGCAGCCTGAACTTGTACGAACTGATCAAAAGGAACAACTACCAGGGATTTAGCTTGAGCCTGATACGACGGTTCGCTAATTCGTTGATTACCTGCCTGAAACTATTGCACCAAGAGAACATCATCCACTGCGACTTGAAGCCGGTAAGCACCACCACCAGGCCTTGTTAAAAAGCGCGAGCATTAAAAGCTCCGGCGTTCGTTTCAAGAGATAACGATCGTTGCTCGCCGTAATATTACACTTTTACGATTCCTCGACGACGCCGCGTATCCGCCGCGGCGGGGGCCTTGCTTGCGTATTTTTTCGCAGAGAACTGTTCGGAGGAAAGAACGGGCCGGGGGTCGTTTAAATTCTACGCGGAATAAATATCGCCGCGATTAACGGTGAAACGAATCGACGAGCGTGTGTACGCGCGACGAGAGGCTTCCTTTAACGAGATAAACCGCGGTATAGAGAAACAGAGAAACACAAAGTCGGAGAAACGTCCGAGAATGCCGGGCGGGTTGGGCGCGCAGGGTCGTCCTGTCGGAGTTTAACCGGCCGATCAGGTCGATGATGCGCCTGTTCTCTCTCTCTCTGATCGGCTCGGTTCGCTTTTGCTCGCAGGAAAATGTGCTTCCGAAGGCCTGTTCTCTCTCTGATCGGCTCGGTTTCGCTTTTGCTCGCAGGAAAATGTGCTTCTGAAGCAGCGGGGAAGCAGCTCGATCAAGGTCATAGACTTCGGATCCTCCTGCTACAGCCACCAGCGTGTTTATACATACCTCCAGTCCAGGTTTTACCGGAGTCCAGAGGTACTTCTGGGTCTTCCGTACGGCACGCCGATCGATATGTGGAGTTTGGGTTGCATTCTGGCCGAACTGTACACCGGCTGCCCGTTGTTCCCGGGCGAGGATGAAATCGAACAGCTCGCCTGCATCATGGAGATACTCGGCGCACCGCCGAATTACATCATCATCCAGGCGTCTCGTCGCAGGCTTTTCTTCGGTAAGTTCGGCGAACCTCGGCGAACTCTCTCTCTCTCGAGTTCGCGCTTTCGATTTTATTGCTCGGCTCGGATCACGAATCTCTAACGAAATGCTATTCTTTTCGTTGCTTGATACCCGAATAAAACGAATCCTATCGTTTCAGACGTGTTCGGAACTCCTCGATGCGTGACAAATAGTAAGGGATTGAAGAGGTGGGTCGGCAACAGAAGTCTCGCGAGTGCTCTCCATTGCACCGACACCCTCTTCGTGGACTTCGTCAAAAGATGTCTCGAGTAAGCTTCCCAATAAGCTTCTTTCTAAAATATTTCATGGAAAATTCATTTCGTGTATTCGTTGTACGAGGCGTCTCGGTTGACAGTTCTGGTTAATACGGTAATGTCTTCGTAACCGGCGCTCGGATTGTGCAGAAAATGGACAATTTTGGAAGAGAAGATACGATTATTCGAGCTTCGCGGCTCGTTTTTATAGCTCCCGATTGTCAACAATTATAAAAACGAGGTGCGAGGCTCGACTAATCGTATCTCCCTTTCCCAAATTATCCATTTTTGTGTGTNTTTCGTGTATTCGTTGTACGAGGCGTCTCGGTTGACAGTTCTGGTTAATACGGTAATGTCTTCGTAACCGGCGCTCGGATTGTGCAGAAAATGGACAATTTTGGAAGAGAAGATACGATTATTCGAGCTTCGCGGTTCGTTCTTATAATTGTTGACAATTCGAAACTATAAACACGAATCGCAAGGCTCGAACAATCGTATCTCTTCTTTCCAAATTGCTCAGTTTTGTGGACAATCTGAGCGTCAATTAGAGGAACATTACTGTACTTTGTAACAATTATGAGAGTTTTTCTAATCTCGGTACAGTAATTTCTCCGCAATTGACGCTCATATTATGCAGAAAAATTGATAATTTGGGAAGAGGAGATACGATTATTCGAGCCTCATAGCTCGTTCTTATAGTTGTTAACAATTCGAAACCATAAAAACGAACTACAAAGCTCAAACAATCGTATGTTTTCAAAATTTTCTTATTCTTTCCAAATTGCCCATTTTTGTGAACAATCTGAGCGTCGATTGGAGAGACATTACTGTAACAGTTAATAATTATTTCTTGGAAGAAAAAGGCAATTTACATTTGAATTAAAATTAACTGCTAAACGCCAAAATAATCCTAACGCTAAAATAAGCCTTTGTAACGATGAAAATATTATTTAATTAAATCGCATTAGGGGTACCCAATCGTTCTCTGTGAAAGAACGTTATCATTTCATGAACTTGAGAACGAAAAACGAGTTTCAATTGATCGTTTCAATCGATTCGTTGACGTTAAATATCGATGCTTTAAAAGAGAACCGAATAACACAATTTAACCCTACATAACAGATTATTCTTAGAAATCTCACGAGTCAGACTCGTGAAAGTGGAACAAGGGGTTTAACCCTTTGCCCTCGAAGTCATTTGAACTGCAAATCTATAATAATTTTCCGGATATAATAATAGCCATTCGATCTAAACTTGCAGCACCCACTACGAGATATCTCGTAGCCGGCAGTTTTGGTACAGACGCTTGCCACGAGATATCTCGTAGTTGGCAGTCAACGGGTTAAAAGATGCCGCCTAGAAATCCCGAGACGGTATCGTCTCGGTATCATCGAAAATAGCAGAAAAACCCAGCCATGATTCGATCATCCTCTATCCAGCCTCTAATCAAACGATCGTTCCGATTTGTCGCAGGTGGGATCCAAACAAGCGTATGACCCCCAGCGAGGCTGCCCGTCACGAGTGGTTGAAGTCGACCTCGTCCTCCCGCGTGAGCTCCTCCTCCTCGACGATGGCCTCGTCGACGGTGAACGCGAACGCGAACGCGAACACGAACACGAACACTAACACGAATACGAACACAAACACGAACGCGAACGTGAACGCGAACACGACGACAACGACGACCGTGGAGACGTCCTCGCAGTCGGCGCACGCCCAAACGGTGAGCGTGACGGTGAGCAGCGCGCCCCGGCAACGGGCCACGACGGTGGAAGACCCGCCGTACATGACGTACCGGCTGTACAAGGGCCGCAAATACGTGCAGAGGATCAGCACGGCCGTGAACGCGGACAACGGCGGCCTGGTGGTGAAGAGCAAGCTGAACGGAAGCGCGAGCAGCCACGCGCTCGCGAGTACCGCGCAGACCACTACCTCGAGGCACGCCTCGACCGGCGATATCGTCGCGAGTTTGGACCCGAATCTCGACGATTCCGGTACGTTTTTACCGCCGATATTGTGAAGCCGGGTCTGCGCTAGCCACTTCTAGATGCTTTCGCGCCGTCGTGTACCGTGTCGCGATCGAAACTCGTCCTCTCTCGCGTACCGACCGCGACCGAACCTGAACGTGAGATCGGAGACGAAATAAATGAGAAAACGGGGGTGGAGCAAAAAAAGGGGAAGAAAAGAGAAGAGAAAAAAAATTACGGTAGCCGAGAAGAGTGAACCAGGAGCAAGAGAGAAGGATAGAGAGAGGGAGGAATACACGGACCACTATTCTGGCGGACTCTTCCGCGGCGAAGAGGGCTCGCGAGGGTAGTCGTTCGGGGCGAGTAGACGAGGCGCGACGGTCGATTTGATCACGACAATAAGGCATCGACGCGATCGACCGTCGTCGGCCGAAAGACCAAATTATTTAGCCTCCGTGGCGCAGGACATTCGTCGCGTCGCCGCGGCGAATCTCTTGCCGCGCGCGCGTAGAAAGCACCGTTCTCTCGCCGGTGGTGCGTCTTTGGTCGCCGGTGTACGCGGAGAGCGAGAGGAGATGTACACGCTTCGGGTATGTGGAGGACGCGTTGGACGAGGCATGTAGAATTGGCTGGCTGGATCGGCCCGATCGTGTTATCGAGAACACGCCGCAAAGGCTAGGCAAGGTACGCGTTTGCTAGTCCTCGGCATTATGCATCGAGCCATGAGGCCAAAATGATCTGACGAGAGCGGGTGGCCCGCGAGCGAACGATTCGACGCGTAGTAATCCGAGACAACGCGGCGGTCGTTCCCGTTCGTTCGTCGAAACGACGGACGCGCGGCCGCCCCCGATGTCACTCAGGTAATCGTAACGACACGTGTATGCACCAATTGTAGTCGATCGAAAGTAACGTAGAGAAAGAGACAACGCGCGCGCAAGAGAGAGAGAACGAGCGAGCGAGAGAGAGAGAGAGAGAGAGAGAGAGAGAGAGAAAGATAGATAGAAAGAAAGAATAAGTATGAGAGAGAGACTGAGTGAGAACGAGAGAGAGGGAGATAGGAGTTTCGTTCCCCCGACGTTCGTCCCTTGTCCTCCGAGATATAGCAAGAATTTACTTAGCTAAATGTGGTTTCGCGAGTCGAGAAGAATCGAGTCGTGTTCGCCCTTTGTCGTCGACGAAGACGCGTCGGCTCCTCTTAGATAAGAACGATCGTCGTCGTCGTCGCGATCCACGGTCGAGATCCGCGATCCGCGAGCATCGAGATGCTGTATAAGAGAAGAGGAACGAAAAAGGGAAGAAAGTAGAGCGAGGGAAGAGAGAGAGAGTAGAGCGGACGAAGGGTGAACGTGTGTTTTTTAACAACGATTCCCGCGCTATTCCCATCAGCTAGCATCGAAATATCTCGCAGCGACGACGTAAACGGATGAATCCGAGTCGTCGGAGAAACCCCCCGTGGCAACAACAGGGTCGCGCGATTCAACGTCGGATCGTTCGTCCGAGACGGGAGAGAAGTATAGTAAATCTTATCGACGGGGGATAAGACGAGAATAGCAGGGGGGAGGGTGGGTGATATATAAAGGAAGATGAAACGAAGCGTGCGCGCCCCAGTTTCACGAGGCCTGATTAGTCTTATTGTGATATTAATCTACCACTGTCTTACGTAGATCTCTCCGATATTAAGATGTAACGATCGCTAATAATGATTTTTCATTACTATTAATCATTATCCTTTCTCTGTCTTTGATATGATTATTGCTCTCGCTATTGTCGCAAGATTATAATTACGATTAACGAAAGCTCTATTCGTGAGGTAATTAAACCACGCAGAGAATAACATATTATAATTATATTATTACGTGTAAGGATTGTACAGACTTTAATTAAGCCCGACAGAGAGGAGAAACTCTCGAAGGAGTTTCGCGACGAGCACGCGGATTTGCCTTTTTTTTCTCTCTTTTTCTCCCACGATTGAAAACAACGCCTCGGACTTCGCACGGAAATCATCCCGGAACCAATCGACGCGCCCCGATCGAGAATGCCGCAGGGACGATAATTAATAATCGTCGTTGTCCGTTCCGCGCGGGGACGCGTTCAAACGAGAGCAAGATCGACGCGATCCCTTTTCCGTTCGAAGCCGCGTTCGCCGTTGTCCGGCCGACCCGAACACCGTTAGACCGCCTTTACACCGATCGAGGGAAAGCAAAAAAAAAGAAACAAAATAACGATTAAACTAGAAAAAAAAGGAAAACAAACTCAAGATCGAAGATTCTTGGCGACCCACTGCCCCTTAGCATATTTGCGAAGGATTTGAAGAGAGAAGTCGTTGTTCTGCCCCGCGTTTCGGCGTCGCGTCGCCTGAAACACGCGCGCGCGTAAGAAACGCGTTCTCCCCGGTCACGTTCAGAGGATCACCGAAAGCTTTCGCTCGTCGTCGAGGAGATACTCGAGCTCGTAGCTAACTAACGCCGGCGCGGTACAACACCGCAACAAGCGCTCCCCCGATTTTCAGCGACTCGTTTTCGACTCGCACCGAGCCGAGAGGGTGTTCCGTTCGAGTTTTTCGACCCACGAATAAAAACCGCGACCGCGCGACGAAACACGAGAAGAACCCGCTGCTTCGCAAATCGCAACGCGCGCGACTTCGGCAGGCTTCCGTTCGTACAACGTAGTCTTCGAGCATTTCGTCGCTGAGCCTAGGAGGGCAACGAGGCCCGCCGACGAATTCCCAAGCCGCGTATACCAAAAGCCAACCCTCCCGCGCGAGCGTGTTCGCTGCGCGAGGACTAAAAGAAAAGACAAGATTCAAGTGAGAAGACTGAAGTTTAACACGTCGTCGTAGGATTTTATTTAAAAGCCTTCCCCGTAAGGACGACCACTTATCGCGATACGTAACACATTTTTCATGTTTGTATACGATCACCGACCCCCCCGTCGCACGAAACGCATCTTCGATTCTATTTGTCTCTCATCGTCGTAATATCGCGAGCAACGCGGAGTTCAAAAGCACGCGAGTGCAAAAATTCATCGAAAGAAAGAAGGAAAGGAGACGACTTTCCCGCGAGGCGCTTCGTTCTCAGCGAAACATTCGCACCGGTGAATCAGCCTGAATTTCTTCTATCGAAAATCGGTTGCGTTCTCGAGACCGTCGCGCGAGAAGAAGAAGAAGCCCCGTTTCGCGTTTTCGATATATTTTCGTACTCGGAGAGTCCGTAGAGTCCGTCTCGAGGTGTCCTACGTTATTATTCCGTGAACTCGGCAATTTCGCGATCGCACTTTCAAACGCCTCCGTTTCGTAGAGACAGTTTGTTCGCACATTTCCTTCAGCACCCACTGCGCACGCCTGTTTCGTGGCGAAATAATTGAAATAATCGTGTCGCTTCTCGATCGTCGCTTCGCACGCTTGGTTTCGTTCAGGCATCTCGAACGGTACATTTACAGATAAACAACGGTGACTTTTGTAAACGTTTCGATGACATTTTCCGAATCGAGAGCTCTTCCATAGGTAACGCGGTACCGGGCAACACTCGCGTGTCAGGTGCCGGCGATTAGATTTCGTCGTGATCGGCATAAGTAATCGCATCGTCGAAGCTAGGACTTAAAAAAAAGGAAAAAGAAAAAAAAACAGTAGCGATAGAGGAGGAAGCGTTGTATCGACCGTGCAACCGAGGTACTCGAAGAGAGCCCGTTCCGAAGATATCCGAGTCGGAAATTGAATTTCGGTGGCGCGAAAAGTTGTTCGACGCTGCTCCAAAAATTCGCGAAATTCCACGCGTTCGAGCCGGCTGATATTCGATGTGTTAACTTTTGCCCGGGAAATCAAAATTTTCGCGCGACAACGATCGGAGAGTCGAGGGCAAATCTTCGAGTGCTTCGCACGGTGTTACGGTGAAATTGGACGAAAGACGAACCCGCGCTGGAACGACTGAGAAAAAAGAAAACGGTGACGGACCGAGCGAAAAACCGGACGAAATTTAGTTGGCGACTCTCGCGTGTTTGTGACTCGTTTGATAAGATTGGTTGACCAAATGATTAAAAATTCGCAGGTGTTGACGGAGCATGCGCGAGAGAGAAAGAGCTGCCCGCGGAAGATCTTCATTCGACTGTAGTCAGAACAAAGAGTCTAACGCTTAACGAGTGTAGCGTGTAACACAGCGCGACACGTACACACACAGGACACACACACAGACACGGAGACGTACACGCGCACACGCATACGCCGACACACATACGTACATACACTACCGATCTATATAGCGAAGAAGAATATCAAATCGTGTATAATAACTACCATTAAACGACACGTGTGCGTCCGGATACATGAGTGTGAGAGTGCGAATGAACGGATAGTCGAGAAACGGAGCCAGACACAAACCTATGACGAAGAGGATGCGTCCAGCGAGAGTGAGTCACATTACTGCATATACATATATACATAATTATACATATAAATATATATATATATATATATATATATATATATATATATATATATATATTAAATATTACGATTTTACGGTATTAAGAAACCCTTGCAGAAGCGAACAAAAAAAACGAGTTAAACATTAGGATATCCATTTAGACGTAATTAGAGAAGACAAAGCCGTTTGAACAACGTAGCTCCATTAAACGGAGTCCCCGAGCACTCCTTTACCTCTCCCCCTTGTACCGTCGAAAACGTATAGTCGCGTCGATTGAATCGTTTAGCGAGGAAAACTGCATCTTTCGATCGGAACACGCTTCGCGATCCCCTGTTCGCGGCGCTTCGATTTCATTTTTAACTCGTTGAACGGACAATTCTTTTAATTGCCCTGCACCTAAAGCGATCCACGAGAGAGAGAGGGAGCTATCGATTGGTATAATCTCGTTCAAGTGATAATAATAAAGCACATTTTCAACATCGAACATCTGACAAGAAACTTCTGTTTTTAATTAATCAAAGAAGAAATCGTGTTTTTATACCGAACGAGACATTTTGGGTGTAGAGTCGACCCTGGAAGGCGCTCGAGCAGAGTGGCAAGTATAGTAATTTCTCCCTAATTCGCGGTCAAAATGCGCATAATTTAAATAGCACAGAAATGCATGATTTGGGAAGATCGTCGATAACTATAAAAATGAGACGCGAGTCTCCTAAATTGTCCATTTTTGTGCGCGATCTGACAGCGAATTAGGGAGAAATCACTGTACCTCCTTCCCAACGATTGAAACCGACATCGCTGCTTAGCTAATTCAGGTGCGAAGATGATCGATCGATCGATCGATCGCGCGACTCGTTTCGAAAGAGAGAAATCGTGGTCCCTCCTGGTCGGTTTTCCCGCAAACGATTTAATCGCGCGAACCGAGCAACACGCTTGTCGCGAAGAATTTGCGAGCGCGAAAAAACGCGGCGGCGAAAATACCGGGGGAAACGATGAGGAGCTATACAGGGTGTCCCAAAAATGTCTCGTAATACGGAAACGGAGAGATACCTGAGGTCGTTCGAAGCAATTTTCTCCTTAGCGAAAATGCGATCCGCGGCTTCGTTTACGAGTTATCAACGAAAAACGGCGACCAATGAGAGGCGAGCTCGGCCGGCGCGAGGCGGCCGAGTCGATCAGCGCAACTGGGCGTCGCCCGGTTCGAGCCGAGCTCGCCGAGCTCGCCTCTCATTGGTCAGTGTTTTTCGTTAATAACTCGTCAACGAAGCATCGTAGAACATTTTCGCTGAGGAAAAAGTTGCTTCAAATGATCTCAGCTATCTCCCATTTCCGTATTACGGAATGTATATACCGTTGCTGGCCCTTCCTCCCCCTCCCGGTCACGTTTTCTCGTTCTTGCCGATTGCTTACGCCAGTTGTACAGTCCGCCGAGTTTTTAGTTGTGTTCACTATTATATACAGTGGGATCAAATTACGCGCGTTAGGACCGACACTCTAATATCTACGTAAAGCGATCGCGTTCTTCGCATTCGCGCGACCCGGCAACGCCTAACATAAGCGAAAGAAGAAACAAAGTTGTACCGTCGAATATGCTACACCGGAACGAAGCACGAGAAAAGTTAACGGAAAAAAGAAGAAAATCACGAGCCACGGGATTATAACGAAGAAACACGGCGATCAATGAATTCGAACGACGTTGTTGTAATCGATGCCGGAGATAATAAATAACGATAACGAAAAAATACCGTTGCTGTGTGAATTCGATCGGTCGGAGTTCTGTGAACGAAAAAAAAGAAAAAAAGAAACGACAGCGGCGCTTTCTAGTCCGGGATTCTGTAACGGAAATAACGATGGGACGATGGTCAAAAAAAAAAAAAGGTTGACATTTTTATAGAACAAGAAGGGAGGAGGGAGGACTCTCTTTCAGGTTTCAGCGTGCGAATGCTCTTAGCGTATATTTGTTAGGGCAACGTGCAAACTAATTATCGAATTAACGACGTGACTAGATTATCTATCGAGTTCGGTTAGATAGCGAAATGATGATGATGCATGCGTGGCAAAATCGTCGTCGTTGCCATTGCCGCGGCCGCCGTCCCTTTTTTCCCCCTCCCCCCGCGCCCAACCCCCAGCGTTTCGCGATCCTAAACGGGCGATCGTCGCCGGATCGTCGAAGCGTTTTTCGATGACCTATCGATCTTTTTCTATCTTTTTTTTTTTTCTTTATCTTCTATGAAGAGAGTATCCTCGATAGGACAATCATGACTATAAACGAAATAATTTTCCCGTTAGCGCGTCGTTGAGATATTCCCCATAGGTCGTAGAGACTCGAGATATACTAGACACGAGCAGCGAGTATGAATTCTCTGTCGCGAAAGTCCGATCGACGATGTTCGTTCCCCCGCACCGCCTACTACTACTACTACCGTATTATAAAATTCGAGTACCGTATAACCGAAATTTGTAAATTTCTGCGTCTCGTGTATGGTTTCCGTCATTGTCGAGTTCTCTCTATCGAACGATTCATGTTATTGGGTATAGTTCGTATCACACGTGGATATAGAAGCATGTACAAAATGTAATAATAAACGAGAATATACGTGTAAATATATGATGAACCGCGTGGTACACGAACGTTAATGCGCGCGCGCACGCGCGTCCATGTATATTTATACGTATACGTCATTTTAGTAATAACGCAGTTTTTTGCATGTTGAGATAAAAATCGATGGCGTACGTACGTTCTCTAATCGTGATTTCATTAGGTATCCCGTTAGTGTGTTGTTACTTTTCGAAATGTGTATTATTGATTCGAATCGTCGAAACATGTACGAGAATATTTTATTCGATGTGTTGTAACGAGCTTTGCAAAAAAAATGATAAATGTGTACGATCGAGAAATATGGGAGGGGGAATATAAAGAGTATAATACAGGGAGACGGAGAACGGAGAAGTATGGGGAGCAGTGTGTGTGAGAGAGAGAAAGAGAGAGAGAGAGAATTAGTAAGGGAGAGCAAGAGTTGCAATAAATATTTGTAACTCGACGTTGACAAGCGGGGAAAGACCTTGTTATATCGTGTAAGTGCGAGTTCGTCAATTTCTGCCCACTTAATTATAGTGAATGAAGAAATGAATTGCTAATAATAAATGATTATGATAAAGTGACATTAGTACATATAACGATACAATACTGAAGCATCATCACCTTTTGTATCATTTGTTCGTTTGTTTTTATCTTACTGCGTTTGTCTTTCATTATTAATGCAATACCAAGATGACTCGGTTTCGACACGGTATCTTGTGTGTAAATATATACTAATAAAAAATACAAATACAAGAGCAACGTCTGATCAATTAACCCGTTCTTTTAAAAGTAATACGTCATTGAAATAAATTGTTTTAATATACGTATAATTTATATTGTTTTAATTAATAGGTTTTTCAATGTCTATGTTAAGCTTAAAAAAAGTCTAATAATATTAATCGATAATTGAATCTCATTTGCCAGAAAAATTTGATGACTCAAGAAAATTCTAAGAATACAAAAATGTTCGAGAGACTCTCCTGCATCTGTATCATGCAAACAAATTTATTTCTTAGTATAAATAAAGGGAACAGATGATTCTTGCACGAATCACTTGCTCCGTAAAATGGAAAAATTAGCGCCATTACGTTGCGCCTCTTGTGGTGAAATTTCGAAGCTCGGTTCACGGGTCCGTACAGCGCCAATTAGTAGATGGCAAAACGCTGAAACTGCTAGCCAAACAGTGGCGCCTCTTGTGGCGAAATTTAGAAGCTCCTTTCGAGGGTCCGTACAGCGCCAATTAGTGGGTGACGAAACGCTGAAACTGCTAGCCAAACAGTGGTGCCTCTTGTGACGAAATTTAGAAGCTCTTTTCGAGGGTACGAACAGCGCCAATTAGTAGGTGGCGAAACGCTGAAACTGCTAGCCAAACAGTGGCGCCTCTAGTGGCGAAATTTAGAAGCTTCGTACAGCTCCAATTACATATATATTACGGAACGCGTCTGAGGTCGGCCGAGTCAAAGAGGAGCGAGCGCTCTGACGGAACTTAGGTGGTATCGATGCAGTTTAAATCAAGGGCATAATTTACTTCTGTTTCCAGTAAGTTTTATTAGATTTTTAAATGATTTATTTAATGTATCAGTATTAAATACATGACATAGTTAAGATAACATGAGCTAAGCGTAATTATAATTACAAATCAATTGTCCGCATTTATATTATTTCTTTGTACTTAAATCTCATATAATAGGAGTTTGAAATCGAATAGGTAAATGATTTTAAATCATATCCCAAAATACGGATGATGTACAAACATTCATGATACAAGAAAAATAGAAAAAACTATTTCACAAGACAGTAGATGATTTACAATGATTTTCAACAGATAGAAGGCACAGGATATAACGTTAAATACCACAAACATGTAATTAACATTATATAGCTACACACGTATGTTTCGTATATCTTCTAAACGTATGAATTTTCAAAAGAAAAAATTAGTTTAGACGGTATAGAAATGAACCAAATGAAAGAAGATTAATTTAACGGGCCGCTGGAGATTGTTGCATGCACAAGAATAAATACAGATGTATATGTATGCTAACTTGCATTTGATTATCTTAAATTTCAAGATAAACTTTAATATTCTGTTGTCCCACTGCTACCTTCTTCGTTCTCCTTTTTGTGTCTTACGTTTTTCCTTCTTTTCTTCCTTCAGTTGTTTCTGTTTCTCTCTAAATTAAGAAGGATTACAATTATAATTAAAACATTCAGAGAGTTTCATATTTTATCATTCGCATTATTATTATTATTATAATTGCTATCGTTGTAGCTTACCGATCTTCTTTATCTTTTTCTTTTTTCTTCTGACTTTCTAATTTTGCTTTTTCCCTCTTTTCTTTCTCTTGTTGAATTATTGCAGCAGCATTCGTGTTCTTCTCGATTCCACAATCTCCTCCACTCGCACCATCCTCTTCCCCGTCGCCGTCGCTGTGTTCTTCGTCGGACATTTGACTATACTGTGCAAGGATCGCCTCTCTTATTCTTCTCTCTTCTTCTGTGTAACTTCTCTGCGTCGTAGTTGGCAAAGATTGCGATTCCAGCATCTTCGCCAATCTAACATCCACGTCTTCTATCGGTCCTTTTGAAGCAGTAATTTCTTTGTCCGGGAGCCATTTGGTCCACGCGCTTAATATTTCTGTCACATGACCACTGATATTATCACCCTAAAATTCAACAGAAATTTATCTTACAAACGCTATATATAGATCTAGCGCTAGTAACATTATGTGTCACTATATATTCCTAAATGATTGATTCAATTACGAAAATTATAAACAATCGATTTTGAATGATCGAACACCAAAAACTGTTTCGCTTAGCATATTTTTAATAAATTTAAAACAGAATTATTAGTGAAGAATTAGAATGGAGTGGATTTGTGAATTCAAATAATAATATTATTGAGCAATGACAGCATTTTGTACACCAACCAATATATTAAAATATTAAAGTGCAATGAAATTGATAACAAGAGTTAAACACGCAGGCAAGAGAAGGGACACAACGTTGAATCTGTGCGGACACGTGCAGGCCAACAACAGAAACAATTACAATAATTCCGATTGTTATTTTTGACCGGCTGATAAACTTGGACTACGAACAGCAAGCGCATTCTAACCTCACAGTCCGAGTGCTCCTCACCGTTATGGCAGCGAGTATGCCTTCGAGGGCTTCGGTCTTTTCATCCTCCGTTTCATCGCCTTCTAAAATTCCTTTGATGTATGATCCAAATACTCCTTCATCAGTATTTAAAGCCTGCAGCTTTTTACTAAGCCAGCTATCGAAGGAATTAGTTGCAACCGCCATATTCGGCTTTGTCAATTTTTTCAGCTCGTCTATTGGCAACACTTAAACTTTGCCATTGCAACAAAAAAGGATATCAATAGAGTGGAGATGAGTTTCCATACCCGGGTTTTCGGCGCGCCAGGTATAGTGCTGCCATCCCAGCAATGTGAAACTAACATAGCTTCGATACATGTTTTACCACGGATCAGGATCTATTGTTAGTTTTCGAAGCCGTAAGCACGTGATAATCGATCGCATATACATACATAGAGCTTCTAGTAAATTCGAAAGCATGGCCACCGCTTTGAGGTTGAAGCTCGCAATCCAATTAGGAAAATCTCTTTCAAGACCGCTCAGGCGGAATTTTGAGAAAGAGTTTTTGGAGAGACAATGTCGAAGACTTTCAGGTTCGTATATTTTTATGACATGTCATTTGTATTAACATTTCACATTGTCAAGTTTTTTAACTTCGGAGTTAGAAGAATATTTTGTTATTTTTATATATTTTGTACGTATATCGTTAAATTAGATTTATCTATACGGGCTATTCTTGTTTAACCATTGGATTATCGATTTTGTAATGATGAAAATGTACGTATATGTTGCAGCAAGTTGCTCAATAAGATGTTACTCTTCGCAAACCGCAACTCAAACCACAGAAAGTCACAATATCATAAAGGATACAGAGAAAGTTACAGGTATAATAGAATCTTTTCCATTATGTTATAAGTGGATTGTAAATGTTTCATTAATTTCCAATAGTTATATATTTATATCTCTTTTTAATTAGGCGATGCCGTTAAACATGAATTTCAATCAGAAACTCAGATGCTTCTGCAAATTGTTGCCAAATCCTTGTATTCGGACAAAGAGGTAGTTTATATGTACAAATTTGTAATAAAATGCAGCAGTTCATGAAGTATAGTATTTTTCAATAATTTTATGGCTTTTTCTGCTAGGTATTTGTTCGTGAGTTGATCTCTAATGCTAGCGATGCTCTAGAAAAACTACGTTATATAAGATTAAGCGATACTGAAGCTGCAGAGACAGCTGGTGATAGAAACTTAGAAATTCATATTGCTACTGATAAGCAGAACAGAACGCTTACTATTCAGGATACAGGGATTGGTATGACTCGTGAAGAACTGATATCACATTTAGGAACTATTGCCAAATCTGGTTCGAAAGTAAATATTGCTCAAATATATATATATATATAATATTGCTCAAATATGGATGCTTTATACTGCTATCGATTGCAGGCTTTCTTAGAGAAATTAAAGGAAACCCAAAACTCTGGAGATACGTCTCAAATTATTGGTCAATTTGGAGTTGGTTTCTATAGCGCATTCATGGTTGCTGATAAAGTAGAAGTATACACTAAATCCTATAAAACAAATGCCGAGGGACTTTGCTGGACCTCTGATGGGTAAAATATTAAAGAATTAGCTGTAAAAATAATTGTATCTAAACCGAGGCAATTATTTTATACACAGATCAGGTACTTATGAAATCTCAGCGGCTGAGGGAGTTCAGCCAGGAACAAAAATTGTGATCCACTTGAAAGTCGATTCCCGTGAATTTAGCGATGAAGTTGCAATTAATCGTGAGTAAATCAAGCTATATTCTTGTTTTTTCATTATTCACTATTTCAATACATTTCAGGTATTATTAATAAATACAGCAACTTTGTCGGTAGTCCCATTTTTGTTAATGGTAAACAAGCTAACATAATTCGACCGCTGTGGATGCTCGATCCGAAAGATATTACACCACTTCAGCACGCTGAATTCTATAGATTCATTGGGAATTGTTTCGATTCCCCGCGATTTGTATTACACTATACTACCGATGTCCCATTGAGTATTAGAGCATTGTTGTATTTCCCCGAGGAGAGACCAGGATTATTCGATTTGGCCAGAGACACAACTAGCGGCGTTTCCTTATACAGTCGTAAAATCTTAATCAAGAGCAAAGCAGAAAATATTTTACCGAAGTGGCTACGTTTCATTAAAGGAGTCGTCGATTCCGAAGATATTCCACTCAACTTAAGTCGAGAGTTATTGCAGAATAGTACTTTAATTGGGTAAGAAGCAAAGCAACCGATTCTAAAAGAAAAAAGTAAGTCATCAATGGTTCGATTAATCTCTATATATCTTTGCATTCTAGAAAGCTGAGGAGCGTTCTAACGATGCGTGTACTGAAATTTTTGAACGAGCGATCTCAGAAACAGCCCGCAGATTTTAATAGTTTCTATAGAGAATATGGTCTCTTTTTGAAGGAGGGTATCATCATCAGTACTGATCAGAAAGAGAAGGTAATATTTTTTAATAAAATATTTTCTTCAATGTTTCCTTATTCCATTACTTTACAGGAAGAGATAAGTAAACTTTTAAGATTCGAATCATCTGCAATGCCTTCTGGAGAATTAGTTAGTATACCGGATTACTGCAAACGTATACCTGCGGATCAGAAAAACATTTACTACCTAGCAGCACCGAGGTAAGAAAAACTAATTATTTTCAATCATTCAGGTTCCTTATAATTAAAAAAAGAAAATTAATTTTAATATCTTCGCCACATTAGTCGAGTTTTGGCCGAGCAATCGCCTTACTATGAATCACTGAAGAAACGTAACGTAGAAGTATTATTTTGCTACGAACCATACGACGAGCTAGTTTTAATGCATCTAAGAGAGTTTAAATCCTATAACCTGATTTCTGTCGAAAAAGAGATGCGCGAAGAATCGGAGTCGAGCAAATCGGATAATCTCGGTGAGCAGATAACGTTGCAATGATTTTATAATTTCGCTAGCGCAATCGTTTGAACATTTTTTAAAAATTCTTTCAGGTCTGATCAATCAGGATGAGATCAACAATCTCATTGCTTACATGAGAAACGTTTTGCCAAAGAAAGCGTATGATATTAAAATAACTACTCGTCTAGAATCTCATCCTTGTGTCGTCACAGTGAAAGATATGGCATCTGCAAGGCACTTTATTCGTACACAGAGCAACCAAATAGACGAAGAGATGCGATACTCGATTCTTCAGCCACGTTTCGAAATTAATCCTACTCATCCTCTCATTAAAAAGCTTTCTCAGCTGATAAAAACCGATACCAAACTGGCTGACCTCCTCATTAAACAGGTATCGTTTCCGATTGTATACTTATTTATCCTAAATTTGTAAACTATTATCATTCATTTTGTAAGTTAATATTTATACTTTGTGCCAGTTATTCATGGGTAGCATGATCGGCGCCGGTCTAATTGAAGATTCCCGGGTACTGTTGACATCGATGAACGAATTGCTGACTTTAGCATTAGAGAAACACTAGTTAGTAGTTAACGTAAAAAATCGCCGGCGATGCTAGTTGGTAAGTTAATTTAAGTTATTTTGTATGAATTACGAATAAAACAAATTGTTTCATAACTCTGAAAAGAATCCCTTTTTACTGTTATAAAGAACATTCTATATATTTATATATATATATTCTATAGTTGACGATATTCGATTAAATATCGTTCGATTGAAACGTTGACAAAGAATTGTCACCGGAACTATAAAGGGTCAAGGTAGAGCCTGCGAAGTAATTGTAGCCGTACAAAACCATAGGCAAGATTGTTTTCTTTATTACAATAGGTTGATCTTGTACAAATTAATTATAGCCTTATAATTATAACAAGTCAAGTTCCTCACTGTCTGAAAGATTCCATGATAAATCGATATGTATCCTATTAGCGGGGCTAAAGTGTTTTTACGGTGAATTTTGGAAGTAGTACCCACAGAAAGTTTCCTTTTTTTTCCCTCGTTTCGTTCGCCTAAACATCTTTCGCGATTGTACGATTATGGCAAGTTCGTGATTAAATGAAACGTGAAATGGAACAGTTTTGTTAGTCTGTAAGAGTTGCAGTCGAATGGAGAAATCGTAAAACGAGAATCGTCGACAAGCATATCTCGGAAATCGAAAATACGTTTGAAAAAAAGACAAAGATGTTGATAATGGACAGTCGTATGTTTCTTCGATCAATTCCGGTTTGCTTGAATCGAAATCAGTAACCGTACCACCCTTGCAGGAAACGTTCCATTTACAAAAACGCAATCAATATCACTATAATCGATCAGAAGCTCTACAAAATATTGCGTGTTCTTTCCCTTATCTTTACGGTCGAATCGTTTTGTCGCTTCTAAAACCGATCGACTCGATAGATCCGCCAACGGATCGTGTTCGCAAGGACAGACAAGGGTGTCCGCCGATCGGCCGATCCATCCGCAATTAAATGATAAATCCTAATCTTAACGGTTAAAGAAATTCACTGTGCTTCGACGCAAACTGAAACTTTCACTGCTCTTGGCTTAGATGTTCTCTTCCCGATACAATTTGTTAAGTTAAAACTGTACAGTGTCCTTATTCTCATTCTAATATAGAATAAATTGTCTAGGGTCAATTGTATCCGCGTTGTCCGTTTCCGCACTGAAATTTCAGAGAGTGGAGGCACAGCTGTTTTTTTCGAGTTCACGCAAATAACGAAACAATTGTTTGATCATCTTGCACGCCACTTGGTCGAACGCAAAGAAGAAGTGTCACCCTGTTTTCGCGTTTTTCTTTTAACGTTGGCTTTACTCATTTATCTCACCGTACAGGCGGCGTAAATATCGATTTAATGCACACCCCCTGTCGCTATTGTATCCGGTGAAATTTTATCTTGAAAAATAAACGTATTTCATATCATTTTGCCGCTCTATCCTTCTTTTTCCAAAACGTACCCTGAACGTTTCTCATTTTATTTTGTTAACAACGACCATTTTGACCTTCGCATCATTTTTTGGCAGTGTCTACTATCTATCGCAATGTCGCATTCGTGCAATTTTTTTCTATGAAATTTTCTGTATGTTTTCTAAATTTAACGCTTTACTGTTCTTAGCCGAATGAAAAAGTTCGCGACACGTTCGGAGGAGGAGGATAGAGCTTGGAAACAATATAAAACGCGAAGCTTATTTTCAAGATGAACACTTCGTTCGGAAAACGAAGCGACAGTGCGCGGCAAAAACCCAATAATTAAACAAGAATGGCTGGCGTCCGTCGCCGGACAGGAACATAAGAAGAGAGAAAGTGGTTGTGAATTTTCACGGGAAAAGTACTACGCGTACAAGAAACAAAAAGAGAAAATTAAAAAAGAGAAAACACATATGTATACATGTATAGGTATTATATATATAAAAACTCGCGTTACACTTCACCGAATATTTGTAAGCTGCCGCTAGATTACTTTAATTAAAAAAGTATTCTCCATGGAAGTACACAGTGTTCTAAAGAACATTTAGGCACGGAAATAAGTTTTTCTTTGATCCTTTGTGTTGTCGGCTACACAAATCAATCAATGGAAAAATGCATTGTTTATAAATATGGCATTCAACGATTGGCAGTTTTTAAGAAACGTCTCTCGTTAGAAACAACATGGACAGATTCGGAGGATGAGATTAAAATCGTGTGAGAACTATGAGAGTAATCGATTAATGAGCAGCTGCGCGCACGTATCGTATATGTATGTATGTATGTATGTATCGTATGTCTCTGTCTCTTCTGTAGACGTGTAGATGTGTACGGTGGTGTAATGTGGTTTGCTGAGCAGTCTTATCAGAGAGTAGATGAAAAATGTTAAAGCGTGATGTAAGTAGTAGCACCATGTATATGTATACGGCTATGTTTCGTCGTCGAGAACCGATGGTGACCGGATGAATGAAGTGGACAAAATTTCCGAGTGAACGAAAAAAAACAAAAAAAAAAGAAAGGAGACTATTTAAAAAAATATCGTAGTAATAATAATAGTAATAGTAATAATATTAATGATAATAGTAATAATACAAAGAAAAAGGACACAAGAGAAGAGGGGGCGGGGGTGGGTGGGGGTGGGTGAAAAAGTAACGGAAGTTGAACAAACGGAACGTTGACTTAGCTTAACGTACATACGAGGGAGGAATGCTGTCCTCCGTATATCTTGCTCGGTTTCATCCCTTTTTATAAAACGTCGGATAGGTAATATTACAATCATTATGATACAAGTCATAGTATTTGATCATCGTATAAACATTATTATCATCACAGTAAAAATATTCTCATTAATCTGTTTTTCTTTTCTCTCTCTCTCTTTCTCTTTCTCTCTTTCTCTCTCTGTTCATTTCTCACCACTTAATCTATCTCGTGGCTCGCCGCAGATAAACGCAGGCATACGGCGCACGCGATTAATAGAATCTTGCACCCCTTCTAGAAGCGGAGCGCGCACTGTTCTCATTGAAATTCTTCATTTCCCTTTCACTAGAGTCAATTAATTCATTTTTACTCGCTAGACTACGCTGTTTACTTATCGTTTATTAATTATTTAAGTAGTCCGTCGCGGGTTCACCTCGTACGTAACCAAAATAATGTCCGGTTAGCAAATAGTAAAAATACAGAAATGTACCTATGTACCATTCTTCCATCATTTTCTCTCTCTCTTGCGCTCTCTCTTTTTCTATTCACTTTCCCTCTCGGTTTTTCGTCGCGCTTGGAATTATGTAGTGTCTCGCGGATCGAACGTCTCTCCAGTTTTCTTTTTTTTTTAAACGATAGGTCATTAAATAATAGTCATTGGTCTGACGCCGCGGGTCGTGTTTAACAGTTACTCGGCACAAGCAACGAATTCCATCCTTAAGTTCGAGATAACTCCTTATTCCGTAATAGTTGCGCATAGTTGCCATAATAATATAATATATCCATTTCGCTAAAACCTCATCCCCTTTGGTAGAATACAAAACGTTCATGCGTCAAAATGAATTTTGCTTCGAATGGTCCACGGCGGAACAACAGCGATCCGGACGATCCTCGCGATCCTCCGACGATCAAACTGAACACTCTGTTTCGCGGAAAATGAAGACTTTGCTCCCGAAATATCGCGTTTTTTTCCGCGTCTCGCCGTTCCATGGAATTTCTTCGAGGAATTAAGTACTCACGTCAGTACCTAAGCTCTACCTACATAGGAGATTTGAGGTACGATGTACCAGCAAGGGGGGCGAACGTACGTCGTTGGCTCACGAGCAGATCCTGCATCCGGCCTGACTCCAGTCTTCGGTGAAATCTTAAGGAACGTAAACTTATAGTCTGAAAATTATAAATTCGTTTCTCATCTAAAAGAAATATTCGTCTTGATGCTAATCCTCGTACTCATTTCTCGGGTAAATATTTAACGAAATTATAAGGAATATAACATTTCTAATTCTAAAATTATTCGCTCGTTTTTCATCTAAAAAAAAAAAGATTCGTCTTGGCGATAATTCTCGCGTCGTCGCATTTCTTAAAAATTATAATTTAACATAACCATTAATTAGATTTCCCTCGAAAACAAAACCGGCAACGATATCAATTTTCACTTCGTTTCGTACCTCCCTGTGTATTTATTCAAAATCAGAGATAAGTGTGTCAAATTGAGGCGCAAAAATGTAACGAGGGTGAAAAATATCGCGAACAAACTAAGCGTGTCGAATGCAAGGATTCCTTCAGCAAATGTGTACAAGTCCCAAAAGTCTTTCCCGTTTTCAAATAAGATGGATCGTCGCGTTCAAATAAGAGGAAGAAAATCATGAAACGTTAACAAAAATCTGATCTGTTCGTTCGGAAAAGGACTTTCGGTGCGGTCTAAAATTATCTGAAAATCTGAAGCGAACCACAGGTGCAGGGTCTGCAGGTCAGCCGACAGCGTAGGCTGTCCGCCGCTTCCTTAAATCGTAGCTGCCTCTGTACACATGCATCTCTCACGCTCTCTCTCTCGTTCTCTCTCTCTCTCTCTCTCTCTCTCTCTCTTTCTCTCGCTTCTCATTCTATCTACGCTGATAATGTTTGTGTTAGTGTGTGTTCGTGTGTGTGCGTGTGTTTATGTACAAAAATTGTCGTAATATTCACAAGCATTCGCACTCAAAGTCTTCCTCAAGAAGCACAGAAGAACACGATCACGTTCAGTTGGCTGTGGAACGGTGTCATCACCGCCGTTTGTCACACCGAGGTCTGCGTGATTCCGTTCCCCGACAACCATAGGCGGCCGTTGCTCTTCTGCTCGGCGATCTCGTACTCGGAGTCGTCGATCTCGCATAGGTTCGTGGAGAGGTCGCTGTTGCTGGTCGCGCCGCCCAGCAACGAGTTCCTCTCCTCGAGGGTGGTGATCACCGAGCCGATCTCGTCGGCCTCGTCCCCCTTGTGGCATCGGTTCCGTCGCGTGCTCGGGAAACCATAAGGCACTACGTCGTCCTCTTCCTCCTCCTCGTCCGATTCCAAGGTGCTCAGACGTCCGTTCAGAGGGTTCGTCTCGTTCTCCGTGTCCGTGTGGATGTTGTAGTGCGGCAAGTACGAGTTCGGATGACGGAGATAGCTCTCGGAACTCTTGTACTTGTATTCACCCTCGCCACCGCTGTCCAACGGGTTCAGCCGTTGCGTCTCCGGGCAGTGGTACTGCTCCGAGAACTCGGTACCGCATTCCGAGTCGCCGACGTACTCCGACTCCTGGTCCTCGTTCAAGGTCTCGATGTCCCTTGCCGGATCTACAGAGCCGTGCACTGGAAATCGATTCGGCGAGCTTTAGCAGGATTTCTCTCGGATTTTTTAGGCGGCTGTCCATCCGACAGTAAAACTCTCGACAGTTGCTCTACACAAGGTATTCCATAATTATGTTAACACCAGGGAAAGGGTGATTCCTGAGCTCATTTGAAGTAACTTTTTCCTTTGCGAAAATGCAATCCGCGGCTCCGTTTACGAGTTATTAACGAAAGACACTGCCGAGCTCGCCGAGCTCGCCTCTCATTGGTCAGTGTTTTTCGTTAATAACTCGCAAACGAAGCATCGTGGAACATTTTCGCTAAGGAAAAAGTTGCTTGAAATGATCTCAGGTATCTCCTATTTCCGACTGTTAACATAACTATGGGACCCGTCAGGCCCCTTACCCTTCCCCGCGTCTTGCCAAGCTTTCGAGAGCTTTACTCTCAGATGGACACCCGCCTTTAGACTTTGAAGTCTTTCGACGCGCAGCAGAGTTGGGCAGTCGATTTAATCGAGGATAACAGGGAACACGGATCTAGATCTAGGATCTAGTTTAAAACTCGCGGGATATCATCGATAACTATACCGAGGTTTTCGTATATTCCCGAGAAAAATGGGTAAGCTGTTTCTGCCCAACTCTGGACGGCGGACAATCGTCATAGACTTCGGTTCTTGAAACGATTATGTGAAAGCAATGTAGTATGCTGGAAAGCGGTAGAAATCGAGACGCATGATTAAACAGCAATAAAAGTGATAGTAAGGCGTGTCATTTTGCTAATTATGTACAAAATATTTGGCGATGTGAGTGTAGGATAAGTGTCGCACCCGTATCTCGCGATATTATTGCTACATTCGTTACGCGTTTCTGTTAGGATCTAGCTCTGATCGCTGCCTCACCGTATCGTTACGATTCGTATTTGAGAAATTAACCCATCGAATCCCTGATCAGAATATTTCGCCTAATCACTGCACTAGAAAACTGCAGTTGATACGACAGTTTACAGTCAAAGACGTTAATCGCTCGTTCAAACAGCGCGTCGCTCTAACTGCGAATTTTTCTCGTAAACGGCGGCGAGTCGGAATGTTTCGCGTGATATTCGATAACGCGAACTGTGACTGTAAGGATTGAAACTGAAACGACGCAAGAGCGATAGCGACAGCGAGACGATAGTCCGCGGTTAATTACGCAGGTGCTAATGGAAGCAACGTGCACGCCGCGCGGCTACTCACCTGACGGTAGCTGATGAGTGTTTGATTCGTTACTCTCATTGCTGTGGAAGCTGGACGAGTCTGGAACTTCGCTTCCGGGTACCTCCGTGATGTTAGGTAGGGGGTTTTGACTTGGCCTAACCCAGTCTGAGCAGTCCCAGTGATACCCTAAAAGCATTGCAGACAACAACTGTACTCCGACACGCTACATGCGACGATCTAGCGCCGCGGTACGGAGCGGAAGTGAATAGAAAAAAATAATCGTAAGTAAAAGAGAAGAAGCGTGTGGTGTCCTATCTTTGTCTCTGCGGATCCGTGTGCGTGTGCGCCGCGCGCGCGCGTGTGTGTGTCTGTGCGTAAGATCCGTGAAGAAGGAGGAAGTAGAAGTTGAAGAAGAGAAGATCGGGGGCGGGGGGTGGCGGAGGGTTAAAATAAAATAGAGACTGGCCAAGAGACGATAGATACAGCGTGAAGCGAAGCGACCCAAAAATCTCATATCTGTGATCTCATATCGTCAAACGTTCAGGCATACTAGTTACTCGGACTTACCACCGACAATACGAGGATCATCCTCGATGGACGTCATGGAGGCCACGGAGGTCCCACCTCCATGAAGCACGCGTCGAGAAGAATTTAGTAGAAGTCCTCCAGTGGTCAGCTCCGGTACCACTGGGCTCGCTCGTTTCAGGTCTGTTAGCGCACACAATACGATACACCAGTGTTAATTTCAATTCGCTACACGCCCAAGTCAGCATACTCTTCTGGTTATTTGTATCGAGAAGACGGAAAAGGGAAACGGTGCTAGGGTGCAGGCTGCGAACTTCCGTTGCGCGCGTACCATCCCTCGACGCGATCTCGAAGGGGTTGCGGCGCGTCGCTCGAAAAGTTGTTAGCGACGTCAGCTGACACGGAAATCTACTTGTACGGTCGAGGATAGGTGTGCTACGTTGGGTTCGCGCATGCGAAATGTCCGATTTCGTGGTGCTTCGAGCTTCTTTTCTTCGTTATTTAATGCTAAATCTACCGAACGCTGGAAACCGACGCGTTGCTTCGCGAGAACGACGAGCTTGAATTTATTTAGTCATCCTCTATTTTTGTTGCAACGTACACTAGAAATCGAGAAATTTAGTTAATTCGATCTTTCGATCGGCGCCAATGTTAATGAAAAATATGGCAAGTTTCGTGCAACTATAAATCTCGAAGTTAGCTAAAACATACAAAGTTGATTCTCTCGATTTTCATTCTCGAAATTTTCATTCTCTCGAAATTCATTATAATTACATTTTATATTTAATAAAAATGTAGTCGCTGGAAGCTTTACCCCAAAAGCCGACATTTTATGCGCGCGAACCCGGTGCGTGTCTTGCATTAGGTTCGTCCGACAAGGGGCAGGCTCGTTCTACTTGCGGCGAGTTACGCGAGTCTCATACTACTTTTTCGATCAGAATCTACTCTACTTGTGTCTAACCAGGGACCAGATCTCTTCTACATGGGTGCTTGGAACTGGGTTAATCTACTTGCCTGGCTGTGAGCCAACGCTGTCACAATTTTCTTACAAGAAACTGACCTTACACGCTCTGCCCTCGAGCAACCTGTATTCTCCAAGAGTCATCATCGTCCGCCTTTCCGTAACGTTACTCTACTTAATTCACTGGCATCCAGTTACGTTCTACTTTATCAGACTAGCTAATTACGACCTTGCTTTACGATTACGATAATCGACCGATCCGTTCACACTAGTTCTGATAAAAAAGTATTTCATCGCAAGAGTCTCTGAACAATGATTTCCTGTCGCCAAAGACAGTCGGTATCAGGGGTTGAAAACAGTTGTGACATCGGTTTCGGTTCTTGGAACAGTTTCAGTAAATTCTCTCTCTAATTGACGCTCAGATTGTCCACAAAAATTGACAATTTGGGAAGAGAAGATACGATTATTTTCGATCCTTGCGGTTCATTTTTATAGTTTCGAATTGTCAACAACTATAAGAACGAGGCGCAGGTGTTCGAATAATCGTATCTCCTCTTCCCAAATTGTCCATTTTTCTGCACAATCTGAGCGTCATTTAGGGAGACATTACTGTACATCGGTTCTAGTTTCATCGGTTACGATTCTTCGAAACCGATATCATATCGGTTCTATGACTGTTATTTACTGGTTCTCACTTTCGGTTAATAGTTGTATTATACTGGATGTCCCAAAAATGTCTCGCAATTTGGAAATGGCGGGTTCCTCGGATCATTCGAAGCAGCTTCTCCCTTTACAAAAATTTTCTCCGAGGCACCGTTAACGAGTTATTAATGAAAAACGGCGACCAATAAGAATCGAGTACGGCTGACGCGAGGCGGCCCAGACTCATTGGTCACTGTTTTTCGTTAATAACTCGTTAACGGTGCCTCGGAGAAAGTTTTTGTAAAGGAAAAAGTTGCTTCAAACGACCCGAGGAACCCGCCACTTTCAGTTGGAGATTATTTCGGTTCCTCGTAAAACGTTTCCGTCAGAACAGATTCACAACAGTTTGGAACGGTTATCGTTGGATCCTGTTGACTCCCTGGTAACAATAGAACTCTCTGACCGACCTAGCACCGAAGGTATTGCGTCGCCGTGTAACGAACAAGTTGGAGAATTCGAAGATAGTGAGAGACGTAGAAAGGAGGGTCGGAAAGGTGTCCATCAGGATGCGTGAATAAAGGAAGTAGAAGAATAAGAAGAATCGGAAGAAGTAATAGTAGTAGTAGTAGAAGAAGAAGAAGAAGAAGAAGCTAGTTCCACCCACGATGCATGCCGCAAGCGAAAAACAAAAGTAAGAAGCTACGATGAGAGCGAGGGGGATCGTCAACAACGCATACTACTCACCATTCTTGATCTTGGTCGTGTCCGTGATGAAGGAAGCTAGTTGCATCTGTTCCTGCCAGGTCGGCTTATGCAGGCTATCCGTGTCGCTGCCTGTCGCGTTTCCGCCGACCGGGTTAGCGAGAGTTAGGGAGGGAGGGGGTACCGGGGTGGTTCGATTCAGATTTCTCAAATAGTCTGGCGGGAAGTTTTCTAGCTCGTCGCCGGCGCTACCGTAGCTGCGCAGGGTGTCCAAGTTATTCAGAGCGACGGCCGCCGAGTTACCGTAGGCGGCCGGCTCGTTGTTCGAGCTGGGAGTGTAGGAGGCGGGTCTGGGAGGGCATTGGGGAGGTTCTCTCTGCAAACAAAGAATCACACGAAAACCTTAAACTCGATGCACGCTGCACTCGCCGATGGGTTAAGGGGGATAGATACGATGGTCGCAAACGAAAAATAAACGGCGTCGAACCAACGAAAAAAAAAAAATATATATATATATAGAGAGAGAGAGTACACTCTACTTGCCCTCTACTCGTTGGCACTGGATCAAATCATAAATCGAAACGATCGGAAGCATGCGTTTAATCGTCGGTGCTGGCAAAACGTAAAACGGAACAGAAAAATAGAGCAGACTACGTCGAGAACGTGTGATACCTGTATGACTTCGAGGTTGCTCAGCTTCGAGCTCCGCTTGTACTCGTGCTCGTGCGGCCTCGCCGAGTTCAGCACGATCTGCTTCCTGGTCTCGTTGTTGATGTTGTTCGCTCTGGCCCTGGTGCGCTTCATCCGGATCTTCCTGAACGCGACGAACAGGATGATCAGGAACAGGTTCAGCACCACCGCCACGCCGATCCACATCAGCTGTTCCCAGGTGATGTTGAAGTGGCTGGAGATGATCGGCGTCGAGTAGGCCGGGTTCCCGCAGTTCAAACCGGTCATGTTCGGCGGGCAGATGCACCGGTAGCTCCCGATCTCGTTGATGCAGGTGCCGCCGTTCGTGCAGGGGTTCGCGTCGCATTCGTTCACGTCGTTCTCGCAACGGTCGCCCGTGAACCCTTGGCACTTGCAGATGGGCCCGGTGTTGCCCTCCTCGCAAACGCCGCCGTGGGTGCAAGGGTTCGGGCTGCAGTATCTGCCGAACTCGCAGCGTTTCCCGGTGAGGCTGGGCCCGGTGCACTCGCAGGCGTAGTCGTTGCTCTCCGGCACCGGCTTGCACCTGCCTCCGTAGAGGCAGGGCGAAGAGGCGCAGGGATCGGTGTCTATCTCGCAGGCCAGGCCCTTGAACCGGCTGTGGCACTGGCACTCGTAAATGTCGCCGCCCGAGTCCTTGCAGGTGCCGCCGTTCTGGCAGGGCTGGGAGCCGCAAATCCCAGGCGGCACCAGGACGGTGGCGGCGTCGCAGCTGAACTCGACGTTGGCGAACCGTTTCAGCACGGCCACGCTGCTCGCGCCGCTCGCGCCGCTCATGTGCAACGGCACGGACACCCTGGCGATCCTGACGTCGTCCATGCATCCGACGAAACCTCGCTGCACGTCCTCGAATCCCAGGATCGTCGGGTGTTGCCTGACCTCGGCGCCCAAGTAGAGATCGTCGGACTGTAGATTCAATATGTCGTTGCTGCCGGGCGCCGATCCGTGCGCCACGTGTTTCCCGTTCACCGTCAGCCTCGCGCTGTTGCTCTCTCTCTCCAGTAGGATCTCGTGCCAATTCCCGTCGCTCACGTACACGCTGCCCACGCGGACCAGACCCTCGCCGCTTCCCAGATCGAACTTGTACTGCACCACGCCGTTCACCACCTCGAGAACGTTGTAATCGACTTTGCCAGCCGCGTACATCAGGTTCCCGGTCAGCTGGACCGTTCTGATTCTCAGGGACAGACTGAGGCGATCCTCGATCGTCTGTCGTATCAGCGTCTTGGCGATTCTGTAGCGGGCGTAGCTCTTCCCGCTGAAGGATATCGAGTTCCTCGGAATGTAGCAGGACTCGTCGTGGCACTTGGTGATGTCGATGTCGCAGGTATGGCCCGCGAATCCGTCGGGGCACTGGCAGGAGTAGCCTTGGGCGGAGGTCTCCGGCACGCAGATCTTGAACAGCGGACACGGCACCCTGGCGCACTCGTTGACTATCATCTCGCAGTGATTGCCGTCGTAGCCCTCCTTGCAGTGGCACTCCATTTTGTGCTTGTGCCTGGGAGACACGAAGCTCATCACGTCCGTCGCCACGGCCGTTATCTTCTCCTTGTCGAGCTGGATCTTGTCCTGACAGTCCCCGTAGACGCAGTAGCCCTTGCTGCACTTGAATCTGACGATCTCCTCGACCACCAGCTTCGTCGAGTCTTCGAGTTCCTTGATTCGCTGGTTCAGAGCCTCGCGGATGCTCTCCGAAGGAAAGAACCCTGGAGCTCCCAGGCTGTTGGCAGGCTTCTTCACCGCGAACAAGAGGTCCAGGTCGTTGTGCACAACTTGCCGGATGGCTCTCGACTTGATCAGATTCGTCTCGTCCGAGGACGCCTGCACGCTGATGATAATAATGTCCTTCGGCCTGCAGGACATGGCGTGACGCACGGTCCTGAGGAAGCCCTTCCGGTGGCTGAGGACAAAGTCCTCCGGGCTGACCTCTCTGAATCGCACGATCACCGCGTTCTCCAACATCTTGTCCGTTATCAGGTCCACCAACACCTTCACCACGGAGTACGAGTGGAATTTCCCGTCGGTCACGCTCACGTTCACTCTGTACTCGCCGACGTCCAGGCGAGGCAGAGCCACCAAGGAGCCGTTCATCTTGTTGATCCGGAAGAGGTCGTTCGGTATAGGGGACGACGGCACCAGGCTGTACTGCAGCGTGTCGTATTGATCCTGATCGGTCGCGTGGACTCGGCCGATCAGCCCGCCCGGGTACTCGTCCATGTAGGAATTGACGACGACCTCCAACGGCGTGATCACCGGCGGGTACTGCGACTCTTCGATCACTTTGATCACCACCCACGCGTCCGAGTAGAGCGGCGGGCTCCCGTTGTCGAAGACTCGTATGTGCAACACGTATTTGTCTTTCACGCGGCTGTTGAACTTGGTCGCGGTGCGGAGCGTGCCGTCTTGCTCCAAGCGGAACGCGTCGCCCTCGTTCCCGGAACGGAAGTCGAAGGTGTACGGGCTGGCGTTCGGCTCGATATCCGCGTCCGTGACCACGAAATGCATCACCGTGTGGCCCAACGGCTTGTCCTCCTGCACCACCGCCGTGTAATTCGACAGCGAGAACATGGGCGGATTATCGTTCGCGTCCAGAACCTCGATGTTCACCATCACGAAGCTGGACAACATCGGGATGCCACTGTCGCGGGCGTGGACTTCCAACACGTAGTTCGAGACCTGAAATATGAAATAGAGGGTGACTGTTGTAATAACTCTTGCACGATGCAGTAATGTCTCCCTAACCGACGCTCGGATTGTGCACAGAAATGGACAATTTGGGGAGAGGAGATATGACTATTCGAGCCCTCGCGGCTTCGTTTTTATAGTTACCGATTGTCAACAATTATAAAAATTGGGTCGCAAGGCTCGAATAATCGTCTCTCTTCTCACCAAATTGTCCATTTTTGCGGACAATCCGAGCGTCAATTAGAGAGACATTACTGTATTTTGGTTTCTTCCGACTCGATCGACGAGTTCGTTAGTTCTTCGTCAACGTCCTACTTCAAGCTGCAGAACGCGTCGTCTTCGCGGTTAAAAGTTGTACTTTCTCAACAAAAATCTCGAAACGATGAAATTAAACATTGTTCCTCTGTACTCACTTCTTCGCGATCCAGAGGCGCGGCGACGATAATCTGCCCCGTTTTCTGTTCGATCGCGAATTGCTTCTGCCTGTCGCCCCGTTCGATATAGTACGAGACGTTCCCGTTCTCCTCGCTGTCCAAATCGTTCGCGTACACCTGGAACATCCGATTCGAAACGAAAATGAACGACGGATCGAAATGGAAGTATCGAGAGATTACGAACAAGGGATCATCGGATCGACGAACCTTGGTAACTTTGTCCCCGATCTTCGCGTCCTCCCTGATAGCAGCCCTGTAAGAAACCTCGCTGAAGATCGGCGCGTTGTCGTTGCTGTCGATCACGGTGATGTTCACGGTGGCGTGATTGCTCAGCGGCGGCAGCCCTCCGTCCACAGCCTGGATGGTCAAAAAGTAGTCCCTGGCGCGCTCGTAATCCAGCTGTTCGACGATAGTGATCACCCCGGTTCTAGTATCGATCTGGAACTTCTTGTGCTCGTTTCCGCCGACGATCGAGTAGTAGACGTCCGCGTTCACGCCGGTGTCCTTCGAGGTGGCCAGCACCCTGGCAACCTCGGTCCCGACCGCGTAAATCTCGGGCACTTTCGACGAGTAGACCTTCGAGGCGAATTCGGGCGGATTGTCGTTGATGTCCTGCACGTTGACGATCAGCGTGGTCACGTTGATCAGCTGAGGCGTGCCCTGATCCAGAGCCTGGATGGTCACGTTGTACATCGCTTTGGTCTCCCTGTCGAGGGGCTTGCCCAGGGTGACGATGCCGCTGTCGGGCGCGATCAGGAAGTGTCCGTCGGCGGAGTCGACGAACTCGTACCTGATCTTGCGATTGATGCCGATATCGTCGTCCGTGGCGTGCACCTTGGTCACCAAGGTGCCCACCTCGACGTCCTCCGGCAGCGTGGCACTGTACGCGCGCATCGTGAACTTCGGCGCGTTGTCGTTCAGATCGGAGATCAGGATCTCCAGCTGGGACGAGCATTCCCACGACGGCTTGTCCCTGTCCTGCACGTGGGCGGTCAGCGAGTACTTCGCCTGGGTCTCCCGGTCGAGCTGGCCGATGGTCTTCAGCACGCCCGTCTCCTTGTCCAGGGAGAACTTGTCGTTCTTGTCGCCGGTCAGATAGAAACGCAGCTTCGCGTTCGGTTCGTCGTCGTAATCGGTCGCTAACACGGTCAGAACGTAGGTGCCGGGATGCGAGCCCTCGGACAACACCTCTCTGTAGCGATATCTCAGGCAGTACGGAGGGTTGTCGTTCACGTCCAGCACCTGGACGGTCACTCTCGTCTTGAACACGTATTTGCCGTCCGTGCCAACGATCGCTAACTCGTAACGATCCAACGTCTCTCGGTCCAGCGCTTTCGCCACGTAAACCTCGCCCGTCGATCGTATCTGGAACTGCGATCTAAGGTCCCCGGAAGTTATGTAGAACTCGATCGGCGTGTTCACGTCCGAGTCCTTGTCGACCGTCACCAACTTGACCACCACCGTCCCCGGCAGAGCGTCCTCGTTCACCGTCGCCTCGTAACTATCGTCCACGAACGCCGGAGCATTGTCGTTGTAGTCCTTCAGCTTCACGTGCACCGACGTTCTGGCGAAGTGCTTCGGACTTCCGTTGTCCATTGCCACCACCTGCGGAAACCGGATAACAGCTTGCATCGAAGCTCCGTTGCGACAGACGTTGGCAGAAAGTTGTCGTCGCGATTGCAGGTACAATAATGTTTCTCTAACTGACGCTCGGATTGTGCAGAAAAATGGACAATTTGGGAAGAGGAGATACGAATATTCGAGCCTTGCGGCCCATTTTTATAATTGTTGACAATCGGTAACTATAAAAACGAAGCCGCAAGGTTCGTATAGTCGTGTCTCCTCTTCCCAAATTGTGCATTCTTCTGCATAATCTGAGCGTCGATTACGGAGAATTTAACCCTTTGCACTCAGAGCCGAATTAACGAAAAATTTAAAATAGCTTTTTCGACCCACGGTTTTTCCATTTTATGTGACCTGGTGCATTCTATGAGCATGAAATTAATTATTGCGACCGGTGCAACAGTTACGCTTCCAACAGCTCTTTAAATGTAAGAAAATTTGATTAATTTACAATGAAATATTAATATTAAAATATTATTAAATTAATACTAATATTGAAATATTAATAAATGAATATTAATATTAAAATGTTAATAAACTAATATCAATATTAGAGTATTAATAAAATTACTTTGAGACGTGACATAGCAATTTTTAACACTAAACCTACCGCGGTCAATGGACCGTTTTCTTATCTTGCAATTCTGCAAAGTTCCGAGACTCTTTCGTGGAAAACGCTTGAATAAGTTATATTATCGGAGCAAGTTTTCTAATAAAAACTATACAAATTCTAAATAAATTCTGTCTTCTCACTTTTGTGAAGCAGTACATGCCAGTTAGTATCACTGCTTGGTAGGTTTAGTGTTAATGGCGCCTCGGAGTCGCCGCTCGAGTGCAAACCGATTATACAAATTTATCTCGCGCGTCTCGCAACCGAACCGAAGAACTCTAATTCTTCGCTTCGCGAAAAATCTTCGGACGTTTACCTGGAACTTATACTCGGGTTGCTTCTCTCTGTCGAGCTGGACCAGGGTCGATATCCATCCGGTGTAGGCATCGACCGTGAACACGTTCGCCAGCTCGCCGATATCGGAGCCGAACGAGTAACGAACCTCCCCGTTGCTCCCTAAATCGTCGTCGTGCGCAATAATTTTCAGGATCGACGTTCCCTCCTCTATGTTTTCCGCCAAACTGATGCTGTACGGGTTGCTCTCGAATCGCGGGGCGTGATCGTTCTCGTCCAGCACCTGCAGTGATATCTCGGCGAGGGCGGTCAGCGGCGGGCTCGAGTCGGTTTCAGCAAGGACGCCGATCAGATGCCTATCTTTCAATTCCCGGTCGAGCGGTTTTGCCAGAGTGATCTGGCCGTGCGAGTCGATCGTAAAAAGCGGCGAGTCCTCGTCCCCGGAAACGATTCTGTAAGTCACCGTGTTATTCGTCACGGTTTTTAGCCTGGTGATGGCGGTGCCGACGGCCGACGCCTCGGGGATGAAGAACTTGTCCTCTTTGCGCTCGAACAGAGGCGGCACGTCCTCGTGGCCCATGATGTAGATGCTCAGAGGGACGTCCGCGTGGTGCACCGTGGTCCCTCTGTCCTCCGCGCGGATGAACAGCTCGAACAATTGATTCTCTGTAAAGTCAGGAAAACCGATTCGGCGCGCTTTAGTTAGGGATATTCTAATCTGATATCGAAGATCGTGATAAATAAGCCGTTTATTTTGAAAGTGGCATGAGAGTCGCTTTGTTTTGAAGTCGATATATTTAAGGGTTCGCGTTTTAACACGTTTAAAAATATGGATGCTAACTTTCGAGAAGATTTACTTGTATTTGTTGTCTCGGGATACTGATATTTTTCTCGGTATAAATAATTTCGTATAAACATTAAAAAATCACCGCTTTGATTAGAGTAAAGCGACTTATGCTACTTTCAAAATAAACGGCTCATATATACTATAATAGAATACAGAATTAGGACTCACCCCATGGTACAGCACTCTTCTGTAAGAAGAGGGCCCCGGTGTTAGGGTTGATGCCGAAGAGAGCCTTCGCCTCGGAAGTCTGCGGCTCGTAGATCGAGTACACGATCCTGGCGGCGTCGTCCTCGTCGGCGTCTTGCGCCCTGACCTTGAGGAACGGAGTGTTCAAGCTCAAGTTACCGTGGATGCTGGCCTTGTACTCTCTCAGCAGGAAGACCGGCGAGTTGTCGTTCTCGTCCCCGACCTTGACTTTGACCATGACGAAACCCGACCTGCCGCCGCCGTCGGTGGCCATCACCGGTATCTCGTAGAGCTTCTGCTGTTCTCGATCCAGCTTCTTCCTTGTGACGATCTCGCCGGTCAGCCTGTTGATGTCGAAGATCTCCTTCATCATGTCGGACGGTATGGCGTACGTGATGCTGCCGTAATCGCCGAAATCGTCGTCGGTGGCGATCACGCTGATGACCAAACGGCCCGGCAGCTGGTTCTCGAAAACCGTGACCTCGACGACCGGGTTCGGGAACTTCGGGTTGTGCCTGTTCGCGGGCAGTATCTCGATCTTGACGCGCGTGAAGCTTGTGTAGACGTTGTCGGTGACGGACACGTTCAACACGCTGAGCTTCTTCTCGCCGAAGTTCTGCATATTGATCAGAGAAATGATGCCGGTCGACTGATCGATGTTGTAGGTCTGCTGCTCGTTCCCGCCCACGATCGTGTACGTAAGCTTCTCGTCGACGTAATCTGGATCGCTGGCGGACACCACCGTCACGAACTGACCCCGTTCCGCGTGCTCCGACAGGGAACACGTGTACGACGGCTGCTCGAACTTGGGCGGGTTGTCGTTCATGTCGATGACAGTCACCCAAACGTGAGCGGTGCTCGAGAGGCTGGGCACGCCGCGATCGATCGCGATCACCGTGAAGTGGTGGGACTCGTGCGCCTCGTGGTCCAACGATCTCTTCTGGTATATTACACCCTCCTCCGGGTCGATGTGGAACAGGTCCGTGCTGTTCTCCGTGTCGTTTTGGATCGCGTAACGCACTTGCTGGTTTATACCTAAACGAACACGGACAACCTTGCTGGATCAATTATGCTTTCGAGTGAGAAACCGAACGGCCGCACGGTTCACGATTTACAGGAACATCGCCGACGAAATTCGCAACTTTTCAACCGATCCACATCTTATCCGGGATCTCTAATGTTCATCGATCGTAATCGTTTCTTAAACGGAAAAGACAATTTCTATTTACAGTAATGTCTCCCTAACAACAGTTTGGGAAAAGGAGATACCATTATTCGAATCTTGTAGCTCGTTTTTATAGTTGCTGGCAATTCGTGACTATAAAAATGAACCGGATCGAATAATCGTCTCTCTTCTGCCTAAATTGTCCATTTTTGTGGACGATCTGAGCGTCAATTAGAGAGACATTACTATATCGTGTGCCGAGATTTACTCTACAGTGGCGAACAACGATATGTCGATGTTGGTTACATGTACTTCGGAAAATGTCGTTTTCCGTAATATTTTTGGTAAAAAGCAATTTTATTACTGCATTTATTACTGCAATTTTATTACTGCGACGGTCACTGTTCTTCTTTTAATTCTTTAATTATCAGATTTACCACAAAATTTTTACAATTTCTTTCCGAAACTTTATCGAACTGCATCGAACAGGTTTGGTATTTTTTGCTCAGGTACAAAACAATTGTTTTAGTTGGCACTAAAAGGGTTAAATATCGACAACGTTCCAAGTTTACCAATGCATGATGTTCGATGACCTAAGGACAGGGTATAGTCCGTTCAGCACGGTCCATCGACACGATCCAGCTTCGACGTTCATTAAGAAGCAGGCCCGCCAAGATAATTACAACAGCATTAATCTTACTCGACCGCGAGGGATCAGCTACGCGTTATTCATGAGATCAATCTCACATCCTCCACCCCCTTGACATTAATTAAAAGTTCAAGGGGTCATCGTGCCATGCGGAAATAATCTCCGATGCACTTTTGTAACGCCGCATATATTTAAAATTAATAGTTGCATCAATATTTGCTGAAGATGTAACTTGTCATGGAATAAGGAGTACGAGAGTAAAGCACTTTCCAATGAATGAGGAAAATTTTTCGAGTTCCGAGATGATCCGATTTTTCAGAATGTTCTTAACGCGTACGAATTTCAAACGCGATATTGAGCAACGAGTCAACATGCAATGGAAGCATAAAATAGAACTGGCAATCTTCTTGGTCGATTGGCGATATAAGAACAAATTATTAAGGAAATGAATTCTAAATACAGGGTGCCCCAAAAATGTCTCGCAATCCGAAAGTGGCGGGTTCCTCGGGTCATTCGAAGCAATTTTTTCCTTTAGAAAAATTTTCTCCGAGGCAAGTACTCACCGGTGTCGTTGTCCCTGGCCCTGACCCTCAGCACAGAGGTGCCGAACGCCGCAGCCTCCGAGACGGAGATGTTGTAGGAATCCTGCGTGAACTCGGGCGGGCAATCGTTGACATCCTGCACGAGGATGCTGACGAGCACCTCGGCGTAGACGCCGGACACGCTGTCGGTGGCGCGCACCGTCAGCTCGTACTGTTTCTTCTGTTCATAATCCAGCTCATCCACCACAGAGATTACACCTGATTTATTGAAGAGAAGATTGTAGACCCAAAGCACTCTATGCAGCCTAGCGTCCACAAAGCCGAGAAACTTTACGCTGTACTCCGTCGCCTGGATACACGCGCGACCGACACACGCAGAAGATCGAGAGATCGATCGTCAAGCCTAAGCGCACGCCTTTTTATGATGGACCGTGAAAGACACCCTCTCGCGCGCGATGCGCTCTCTACGGGGCCACCGGTGGTACAAGGAGTTCGTTGCTCGGTTTCGCGGACACCAAGGGTGACACCACTCTGATGAACACAGACCGCGGATCTTTGCGCAAAATAAAAATTCTCCGCATCTGTTGCGAACGGTTTCGAGTAACTTGAATGTTGCATTTATCTTTGAATAATTCGAGTAGCTCGAGAACTTTTTTCTTTCCACCGTTTCGCATCGCAGATACTAATTTTTATCGTGAATACACAAAATCCGCAGTCCACGGATGAATGCGAGTCACGCGGTGAACATGTTTGTACAAGACCCTCGGACGCTGCGGGTGAATCTGCGAATGCTACCAAGAGTGTGTGTGTCTGCACCTCCGAACATGACCGTATTCGCTGTACGGATTAACAGGTTGACCGGACATTGGACTTTGTTATCAGAACCGAGGCTTTCGAGATCCAAGTACGGTAATGTTTCTCTAATGTATGCTCAGATTGTCCATAAAAGTGGACAATTTGGGAAGAGGAGATACGATTATTCGAGCCTTGCAAATTCGTTTTTATAGTTATCAATTGTCAACAATTACAAAAAACGAGATGCAAGGCACGAATAATCGTATCTCCTCTTCCCAAATTTATGCACAATCTGAGCGTCAGTTAGGGAGACATTACTGTACAATAATGTCTCTCTAATTGACGCTCGGATTGTTCACAAAAATTGACAATTTGGAGGATGCAAGGCACGAATAATCGTATCTCCTCTTCCCAAATTTATGCACAATCTGAGCGTCAGTTAGGGAGACATTACTGTACAATAATGTCTCTCTAATTGACGCTCGGATTGTTCACAAAAATTGACAATTTGGAGGATGCAAGGCACGAATAATCGTATCTCATCTTCCCAAATTGTCCATTTTTCTGCACAATCTCTGCGTCAATTACGGAGACATCACTATACTCTTTGATCGACTGACGTGCTACTATAAGAGTGCCACTATAGTCGTAGAAATAGCATCGAGAATGTTGAGATAGCGTTTAGTTTTATTGTAAAACTTTCGACGGAATGTAGTAAAATAATTTGACCCTTTTTGGACAGCGGCGGCCGGGTCCATTTTGATCAGCATTTCAAAGGCATCATCTATAGCTACTTAGTTCCCGGTTCTGAATTTAAAGTGGATCTTGTTTAACCGGGTTTGCACTCGAAATTCACCCTCTCGCAAATCAAATTCATCCCGAATTACATATTTACAGGGAATTACACTTCCTCGCGAAGTTAGCCGAGGCTGAACTAGACCAGCTATTCGTTCCGAAAAAAAATAAGAGAAGTAGAACTGCTCGAACTTTAGTTCGCTACGCTGAAAGAGCAAGAAACTGCAGAGCATCAGCATATTTTCGTTTTATTCCGATCCCGACTGTGAGCTTGCAGTTCGCGAGAATTTTAGTAGACGTTTCACGAGCTTTCGTTTCATCGAAGAAGCGTTATAAATTAAGCCACGTCTACTACGGAACGAACATTTGATGTTCATCGCGCGATATGCACAAAAATTTTGAAGTTTCCGAACGATAGCGTATCTTTTTATCACAGAAGTGCGAGACGATTTTATAGGCGAACTCGATCGACGAAAGGGTGAATCGGAGAAGACATTGCAGTCAACCTGTTAAAAGCACAGCACAGGTGCGTCTATCTCCCTATCCGTAGCATCAAGCCGCATTCCCACTTGCACTTTGCAACTTTCAACAATATTTTAGTACACGTGACATTCGACTTGGAAAACAAACGCTGCGTAATAGGGCAAGTGCAAGAGCAGAGGTTCCATCTACGCGGCTGGTTCGAAGTGCGAGCATCGAAGTGCGACGTAAGGTGCAGGCACGTCATGCGAACAGTGTGTGTGTGTGTGTGTGAAGTTGCGAAAACCTCGGCAGGTAAGCGAAAGGAGTGAATAAAAATATATTTTGCGTGAAAGAAAAAAAAAAATAAGACAACGCACGGAGCGTTAAGGCTCGCTCGAGACGCGCGTTCCAAGATGAACCGCTGTTCCGAAATAACAGCGTGCCGCGCGTTCGATCGACACCGTGCTCCAAGCCCGTTTCACAGAGCTCTCCGTTGCTTCTATGCCGATAACGAGACCGGTTCGAGTTACGGTCGGGATGGGAAACGTCGAACAAAAGTAAGAGTATGTTCGTGGAGCAAAGTGCACGACCAAAGCGTTTTTTCTGCCCGGGGGAAAGGAGCCTCGGGGTTAACATGCCGTTAAATGTTGCATCGTTATTGACGATCGAGCACCGTTTTCGCGTGCTCGTCTCGCAGGCTCGTGCAACGTGCTCGCCGGTGAGTGGGTTAGTATCCTAATGCGTGTCAGTGTGTGGATGCGGAAAGCCGAGGACGGTGTCGGATCCTTTCGGTTTTCGAATAAGAAGTCGTCGAGCATCATCGTTTTCTAACGGTATCGTTATTCAAAACTCGTCGAAATATTTTGCAACAATCGATTAATCGTCGGGGACCGTAACGCGCGACGAGAGAGAGAGAGAAGAACGTTGCTCCCGAGGGATCGAGCCGACGATGAAATTTCGTCGAGCGTCGCGCGGACGATTCGGAAGGATGTCTGCCGCATTACGAAAAGTCGGAAGCCGGTAAGAGTAATTGTTGTCGGGACGCAACCAAGAAAATTATTCAAGACTCGAGGAGGCTTTCGTAGGGAACTTCAATTTCATTAATTAGCCGGGTCTCCGGCGCGCGCGCGCGGAGACGTACCCAGCCGCTAATTCCAATTAAACTCTCGCGGCGGCGTTTCCGTCGTCGTATTACTCGCGGGATAAAGCGACGCCGATGTTAACAAGGCTTGAATAACGATCGTTATTTCGACCGGGATCCCACACGTTGCTCCGACTTTGTTCTGTTATTCGCGGCGACAGCAGCCGCCGGGGCTCGGTTTTAATTCGGGGATTAGCGTCGGCCAGGGAGGAAGATTCATCGGCGCGGCGACTGATCGCGACCGACGCGCGACAGTTCCGCCGAATCGTGCATCGTAACGGAAATTAAAAAAAAAGGAAAGAAAAACTAGTGAGACAAGATAGATAGATAAAAACAACGAGAAAGACGGAAAGAGAGAAGAGAACCCAGATATAGCGACAGTGCAGTAGCAGTGGTGAACGGTGCGACACAGCAGACGGATAGAACTAGTATGTTTTATACTCACAAGGACCATTGTTACTGTCGGGGGCTGCGAAACAGGGAGATACAACAAAACTTTAATTTCTAATTTAAATCAGATAATAAGCATTTGTAAAAGAATAAATCGTGGGGGTCGAGAGTAGGGCGAGGGAGAGGCAAGGGTGAAGAAAGAGAGAGAGAGAGAGAAAGAGAGATAGAGAGGAGAGAGCGACGTCTACCGTTCGCTTTTCACAGGAAACGAAATTACGTGTTCCGATTTGAACACTGTAACCGAAGGTAATCACGATCGATCGTCACCGAACCAATTCATCGGTGTACCGTAGATCCGCAGCTTGTGTTACGTGCGATCCATCCCAACGTCCCCATTTTGCTACTGTCTCACCACTACACACCGTTTTACTTGATTAGAGAATTTAGTCACCGAATACCATGTACAGGGAGACCGATATCGATCGTTCGTCGAGAGACATAGGTCCGCTCGTGTGGTTCGCTCGACGGAGAGAAAGAAAACAATTTACTCGCTCGAACCCGCAACCAGCGAGAAGTGAAAATCTTCGAGGGGATCTACCGAGCGATTCGGGATCGGACCAGGGCTCGTGCACCCTTCGATCGCACGCTCGTGGCTCTGCTTGCGTCCGAAAGGGGAACACGTTCGTCACGCTATCCGGGACGTGGGCGAAATATTTCTCCCTTGGGGAACGCGCGCGGAACGGGTCGTTCTGTTTTTTGAAACGTCGAATGTCCTCGCGGATCCGCCGATACGGAACATCCTTTGATTCGGCGATCATGAATTTTTGAAATTAATTAAATTAGTTCGAGCTGGTGCAAATTCGATTGGGATCTGTAAGACGTATGTATGGTTCTACTTCCTTCGCTCTGTGCATTTGAAACGAAAGATAATCTTGAATTTAGAAATTCTTGAATTTTAAATAGACGAAAGAAATAATTTCTTATTTCTCCGAACAATTTTCTATTTGTAAAATACGCGTGCAAGTTTCTAGTTTCCCAGAGAATTTTTCGAAACGTGAAATATTTACACGGATTCGAACGACAGGAATATAGCAATCAACAGGTCGCGCGTGAACGATTAATACCTTCCTTTTACCGGTTCAATAGATTGTCGATACAAATGGATTTTATATGTTACACTTTGAAACAACACCAGCTTCATCGAGGATTCTCCAGTGATCGAAAGTATCGAGAATTTTGCATCGTTGAGCGACCCATTCTGCGTACGCGCGCAAACAACGCTGTCCAACAAATTTCAACTTTTGCATCTCCATAATCGGTATCGAATGTGAAAGTCGTTTTTCTCTATCGCGACAAAAAATTCCGTTCTAACCGTTTCTCGTCGATTTTCATTGTTCGCGCAGTCAGACCTCGCGCCTCGGATTCTCAATTTTTTGAGCGAATTGAAGTCTCCCGCTGTCTTCGGACGTTGCCTGTAGCCTACGAAACCGCTCGAACGGCTTTTAAAGGAGGAAAGAGATTCCGAAAGTTTCGAATTCAACACTTTCGTCGGGACTAAATTTCTGAAACAGGACCGACGGAGAAAAACGATTTCAGGCGTTGGACAGAGAGATCGAAGAAGCGAAGGCCAAAGGAAACGAGTAAAAAAAAAGAGAGAGAGATCCTCGACCCGCGTAGCTCGTCAGCCCTTTTCAAGGGCCGTGTCGCTGAAAGGTACATCGTTTCGTTCGCATTGGGAACCGATTGTTCCGGGGATTACCGTGCGTTTAATTCGATTCCCGGGCGCTCTATCGTTCGACGGTTCGTTTGAAACGGCTTGGCGGCGGACATGCAGACTCACCTGTATTGAAGTTCAGGGCGAATTCCTCGAAATCGTTGCGCTTCGCGATGCTGTATATGAGTTTCCGATTCAGAGGCGACTGAGCCTGTATGGACAAAGCGAGCGGCGAGTGCACCTCGATGCTCTCCAGCACGCTGTCCGTGTAAAATTGCTTGTCGAACACGGGCATCGAGCGATCTATCACCTTCACGTTCACGGGCACATCGATCGAGCAGGGCGTGATGCCTGAAACAATGTCGAAAAGCTTGTCGAATATCGCTCGGAGCCGGTCGAATCGGGGATCGTCGGGGATCATCCGGGATCGACGATGCACTCACCGCCGTCGTACGCAGCGATCGTCAGTTGATACTCCCGATTGTGACCCTCCAGGTTCTGCTTCAGCGAGATCTCGCCCGTCTTCCGGCACACCTTGAACAGCTCCCCGTGGCCCTTCTTCAGCTCGTAGCGGACCTCGCCGTTGTCGCCGCTGTCCATGTCCACCGCGTGCACCTGTGCGCGAAACGAAGAGGGTTGTTACGCTTGAGAAAAATGATCGTGTTCAATTTCAAGAGCTGAAAGGATTACGAGTATTTACGAATGTTTGAGTTACTCGAGTTATTGGTTGGTGGCAGACAATTTTTCCGTTGTCTGTGGACATCGGGTGAAATCGTGTAATCGCGTAATTATTGGAATGGAATTGACCGTATTTGTTGCAAGAATCAAAAGTCATTCACGAACTTCTTCTCTTCTTTAATAATTCTGATATTTTGAAAGCAACGTATCGATAGTCGTCGATTTTATTTGACTCTTTCTCCTCTTTAAAACTGCAACTAAACGTCATTTCTATCGTAAATGCTCGAAATCCGCAATTAATAGCCCACTCTCTGATTCCGTGTCTCGAGCTCGAAATCTCGAGCGATCTCTATTATACGCTTCTGCGCTATTGAAACGCGCGAGACAAGGCCGTAACACGGCGGAATTAACCGGGATTCGGAGCGAACAGGAAACTTCACGGTGCCCCATCGACTGGCCCGCGCGAATGCGATCGCCGGAGAATATGCAAAATCTACTCGCCTTGGTAATGACGTCGCCCTTTTGAGCGTCGACGGAGACGACCGCGTAATAAGGTAGATTGACGAACATCGGGCAGTTGTCGTTGATGTCCTGTATGGTGACGTTAACGATCACATGGGCCACCCTGGGCTTCTCCCTGTCCGGCATCTGGCTCTTCGCTTCCACGATCAGCTCGTAATGGTCGCAAACTTCACGGTCGAATCTAATGCCGGTGGTGCGAATCGCGCCGGACGTCGATCCAATTACAAACATGTCCGTCGGGTTCAGTATACTGAAGACAATGTGCTCGTTCAGCGCGCTGCCGAGGACGTTCACGACCGCGATGGTCGTGATCCTCGTCGAGTTCTCCGGTATCGTTCCCTCGTAGACGTCCTTCTGGAACACCAGGCCGGAGTTCTCGGACTTCTCGACCATCACGTTCACCTGGGCGACGCTCGAGTACTTCCCGTCGGAGACACGGACCCGCAGGAGGTAACTTTTCTTCATGCGTTCCGGGTTATAAACCGTGATGACGCCGGTCTGACCGTCTATGTCGAAAGTGCGTCCCTTGTTCCCGTCGATGATGTCGTACCTGGACAGAATAGGCGTCCTACATAGATACCTGGCCGACGAACCGACGGTGCGACAACCTCGGGGCCCATTAAACGGTCCCTTTTATCGTCCGGTGAAACGCGTTACGCGAGAGCTCGACCGCACGCTCGGTTTGCCAAAACAAATATTTTCTCCCCAGAATTTCTACCGTAATTGAACGCATGCAAATAATATGCTAAACACGGATGCCGTTCGTCTCTTCTAAATCGAGAAAAATATTTTAATTCTTCCGTTATCGCGAAATACCCGGAAACGAAACTAAATGGGGACACGCGCGAAACGAAACTGGTCTCGTTCTATTAGGGAAATTATTAACTATTATAGATTATTATAGATATTATAGATATTATATTATAGATATTATATATATATATATATATATATATATATATATATATATATATATATTATTATAGATATTATAGATATATTAATTATTAACGACTGTTGGAGCTAACGCGTTTCGCGTACTAAATCCGATCAGGGAATCGTGCTTCGTACTACTTATGCAATTGGTGCATTTTGCGAAAGAAATTTTTACTCGTTTGGTAGTTCTAGCGTTGAAAAGAGCACGGCAGATGTTGAATAGACAAAAAAAAAGGATGCGACCAGGGTGCATTGCCGCATAAAAGTAAAGCAGGTTAAATTCGTACGGTGTTTGCGAAGTTTTCATTACAAAACTCGCTCTCATAGTTGAATTTATTAAAGCGTCACCGGCGAATGAGTCTCCGATCCGTCGAAAGTCGGTTATTTTGACCGTGGCGGGTTCAGCGTTAAAGTATCGAATCTCGTCCGGAACACCCACATTGTCGCAGCACGCGCCCGTGCGAAATATTGGAGAGAGAGAGAGAAAACGTCGCTTTTTATTAATGCCGAGGCACTAATCCCGCCCGTATCCGAAAGGCTGCCGTTCCGCTCTGAACGAAACAATTTGCAAAGAAAAAAGACCGGGAACGAACACCTATGCAAATGTCCGACCGCCCCACGGAACAAGTGGGCAGGAATTTTCTTCCGGCGCACGGGAAAAACGCGGCCGCGTATCAGCCGGAGATCGTACAAATTTCATGCAACGATTATAATGGTAAATGAATGCTAATGAAGGCGCGGGCGCGAGGGCATAAATATGAATCAGCTTGTTAAAACCGGAATAAACGCGGCGTACGCCGCTGCCTGTCGCGCCGCCGCGCCGACAGGAAACTTTGGCTGCGGCGACAGATTTTGCGGACTTTTAAATAATTTAACTTCGACAATTGTCCTGCGCGATCCTTCGATTGCTTTTTCTCTAACGTGTCGTCGGTCACGCATTTACCGTGATACTCTTTGTCAGCTATTCTCGGTTATATGTTAAATGTTAGCGCATCCCCGATGCGAGCTTCATTTTTATTTAACACGCACGATGCGATGCGTGATTTCTTGTAACATTCTGTCAAGTATGCATGTTTATTCCGTTCTTTTCAAATATTATAATTTATAAAGTTTAATCTTGAAGACTAACTATGGCGATCTCTTTGCAAAGCGTCTACCAGTGTGTGTCGCGATAATCAAGCGACGACGGGCGATGAATCGAACGATCAAGCGACGAATCCAACTTAAATTATTTATAATTTTCATTTGTTTGTTTCGTTTCGTCTTGACCTCGAAACAGATTTTAAACGTATTAAAATTTATATACGAATATAACTTAGTTTTTGCCAGAATTACAATTTAAATATCAAATTGTAACAAAATTTTACGAACGACGGATATAATCGTCGTGACACAAAATTCTGCCACATCTCCGTGACGGATATAGTCGTCGAACACGCTTAACTGGTTAATAGCAAACTAAAATGTCTGGCCACGTCGCCCATGTACAGTAATGTCTCCCTAATTGACGCCAAAATTGTGGACAATCCGAGCGTCGATTAGAGAGACATTACTGTACAAGCGATGCAATTATTTGCTCGGATTTGAAAATTAACGTTTGCTCTAATTTAGTACATCTTCCTAATTTTATTAGGTGCAGCAGAACGTTAGAATGTTGAAACTGTAATCGACGTTGTACAATTTATCGTTCCAATTATAATTTGGTCAAACAAAATAACCACTTTAATTTTATGAAGACATTTTTCTCGAAGCGATCGAGGCTTCTTAAAACGAAACTGCATCTAAATTGTTGATTAACACTAAACCTACCAATCAGTAATACTAACTGGCATGTACTGCTTCACAAAAGCGAGAAGACCGAATTTATTTGGAATTCGTAAAGTTCTTATTATAAGACTTGCTCCAATAATATAACTTGTTCAAGCATTTTCCACGAAAGAGTCTCGGAACTTTGCAGAATTGCAAAATAAGAAAGCGGTCACTTTGACCGCGTTAGTGTTAAAACATCGATGATCTTAAAGCCGAAGCAACGTTACGGTTCAACGAAATCCCCGGAGCTGTTAGTACGAATAAACGAAGTCTATTTTTCGCATACCTCAGCGGTATACCCTCGGAACTGTCGGGATCGATGGCTCCGACCTTGACGACAGCGACGTTCTTGTACGTGGGCAGCAGCAGGGTGGTATTGTATTCGTTCTCGATGAATTCCGGGGGACAATCGTTGACATCGGTGACCACGATCAGCACCTTGGCGGTGGTCTCGGAATACAGCTTCGGCTTCCCTAGATCGGACACCTTCACGTGGAACGTGAACTTGGGAATGCTCTCGTGGTCCAGCAGCATCACCGTCCTAATGGCTCCGGTGCTGGAGTCGATACGGAAGTACTTCCTCGGCAGATCCTCGACGATATCGTAGTTCAATAGAGCGTTCAGCTCGGAGTCCGCGTCTTCCGCCTTTATCACCAGAGGCGTGCTGGTGTTGGTCAGAACCAGCGACTCGATGCTTGCTCCTTCGCTGATCTCTCCGCTGTAGGTGGCCTGGAGGAACCTGGGCGCGTTGTCGTTCCTGTCGAGGACGTGGACGATCACGTTGCAGGTGGCCCTCGCGTCCGCCATGTTCGTGGCAGCGATGGTCAAGTTGTAGAACTTCTTCTTCTCGTAGTCCAGGTCGTTCTTGATCACTATTATGCCTGTGCTAGGGTTCACGAAGAACGTGTCGTCCTTGTTCCCGTCGACGATCTCGAACTGCAAGGAGGACGTGCTCCTGGCCTCCACGTGCTTCACGTAGGTCCCCATCTGTTGGTTCTCGTAGATCTCCGCGGAGAGTTCTCTCTGGATGAATCTGGGCGGCGCGTTGTCCGCCATGGTGATCATCACGTGTACCGGCACGGTGTTCGACATCGCCGGAGAACCATGGTCGGTGGCTTTCACGAGTAGAATGTACTCCGAGGAGACGCTCAGATCGAGTTCCCGAGCGACCCTGATGGTGCCTAATTCGGGATCTATGGAGAACATGTTGCCGACGTTCCCGGAGGTGATGGAGTAGGCGATCTTGGCGTTGTCGCCTCTGTCTCTGTCGATGGCGTAGACCTGGACGACTGCGGCGCCCACGGGCGAGGTCTCGAACACCTTTCCTTGGATGATCTCGCTGATGAACTCCGGAGCGTGGTCGTTGTGATCGTGCACGGTTATTATCACTCTGGCGTAGTTCCTCTTGGCCGGCGTCCCCTGGTCCTTCACCATCACCGTCAGCACGTGCTCCTCCATGGTCTCCCGGTCGAGCAGCTCGTTCAAGGTCACCGCGCCGGTCACCGTGTCCACGTGGAAGATCTCGAGGGAGGCCTGGTTCTGGGCCGCGTGCAGGCTGTAGAACACCTTCTTGTCCTCGTCCTCGTCGGTCGCGTGCAGCTGCAGTATCCTCTCGCCCTTCTCCACGTTCTCCGAGATGTCGACGCGGTACGTGGCCTCCGTGAACTCCGGCTTGTGATCGTTGATATCGATCACCGTGACCAGCAGCTGCGTCAGTGCCGTGTGCACGTTATCCGTCACGCTGATCGTGAGATTGTAGAAGTTCTGCGTCTCCCAGTCGAGCTTCTTCGCCAGCAGCACGTTCCCGTTGTCCCGGCCGATGAAGAACTCGTCCCGCTTGTCCCCGTCTGCAACCACGTTTCGGTTTTTCATCGTTCATCGAGTCGCGGGACGCTCACGTTTTCGTTACGATGAAAACGACGAGAGCCAACGCGACCTCGTTGTGTTTCGTTTAATCCTAAGCTGTCACACTTTCCTAAGCGAAACACGTATCTCGAACTGGCTCGTTCGGTCCCGGTTCGCTATTCGAACAGCTGTCGCTCGAAAACTAGCGATGTTAATGAGACCCAAAAATTTGGGAATATGATTTGAGCTTTTTAGAACAGCGTTTCCTTTGTTAGAACTGGATATCTCGCTTCGAAGTATATCTAATTAATTGTTAAAAATAGAAGAGGCTTGTTCTGACCCAGTGTGACAGCGGAGGGTTAAAGATATACAGGGTGTCCCAAAAATGTCTCGCAATCCGAAAGCTGGCGGATTCCTCGGGTCATTTGAAGCAAGTTCTTCTTTTACAAAAATTTTCTCCGAGGCACCGTTAACGAGTTATTCACGAAAAACAGTGACCAATGAGAGGTGAGATATGCTGGCGCAAGGCGGCCGAGCCAATGAGCGGAACTGGGCTTCGTGCGCTCAATGGCTCGGCCGCCAAGCGCTAGGCGAGCTCGTCTCTCATTGGTCAGTGTTTTTCGTTAATAATTCGTAAACGAAGCCACGGGTTGCATTTTCGCTAAGGAAAAAGTTACTTCAAATGATCCCAGGAACTTCTCATTTCCGGTTTGTTTAGGATCTTGTTAGAATTTATATTGTTTTCTGAATGATTACAAAGATTGCAATTAGAACATTTAAGAGTAAATATTTTGAGAATCACATTTTTCAGCAATTGCTTCTCTTCTTCAGGATACTACGATAGTCTACAGAGAATTGTTAAAAACTGTCGTCTTTGACTGAAAATATCTTTCGAAATGCGAATTGAACTACCTTTTTAAAACTGCAATATTTTCTGTGCAATTTAGCCTACATAATTACGCAAGTTTTCGCTCGAGTGCAACACTTATCATTTCGTTCTAAAAAATTACAAGATCGAATACTTACGCCTCGCGCAATTTATATTAAAACGTGCAATCGGACAAAACATTAAATAATTTCCCACGAAAGCATCTTCGTAGTTTCAACAGCTATAAAACAGAAACCGTGTTAAATATTAAACGCCGAGACTCCGACACGTTTGTTTCTATTCGGCAAATGAATCGAAACTTTCCGTCTCTCTATTTCAGACTGCAAAGCGAAGAAATCGAAGCGACGTTTCGTCAATTAAACGGGACGCACCGATGACGTTTACTTACCGACGATATCGTACCACAGGGAATCTCCATCCTTGTCGGTGGCTTGCACCAGAGCGACCAGGAAACCGACCTCGTCGCTCTCCGTGACCTCGACGCTTTGATTGTTCGTCCTGAAGACTGGCGAGTTCTCGGATTCCTTCGGTATCTCGACAACTTGCACGGATACCCGTGTTTGATGACTCCGCTGCGGTTCGCCGCTGTCGGCCGCCCTTATCTACCAGACAGAACCATGACCCCGGGGGTAAGTTAAACTGGAACTTAAATTGTATCAAAGACGCTGCTCTAGATCGACCGTGAATTATGTCTATAACAGTGCTCCTCGCCTGTGAAATCGTTACCGCGGCAAGTTCGCGCTTCGTTCGCGTTATGGTTTATAGAACGGTGCGCGCCGTTTCCAACCGTTTTCGACCCTTTCTACCGGAAAGATTCTGCGAGCTTTCTCCTCGCTCCATTCGAGCCGTCTGGAGCGTTTGGATAATGGACATATACAGGGTGTCCCAAAAATGTCTCGCAATCCGGAAATGGCGGGTTCCTCGGATCGATCGAAGCAACTTTTTCTTTAGCAGAAATGTTCTACGAGGCTTCGTTTACGAGTTATTAATGAAATACGCTGACCAATGAGAGGCGAGCTCGGGCCCAGCAGCACATAACCAGCGCGCGAAGCCCAGTTCTGCTCATTGGCTCGTTCGCCTCGCGCCAGCCGAGCTCGCCTCTCATTGGTCACTGTTTTTCGTTAATAACTCGTTAACGGTGCCTCGGAGAAAATTTTTGTAAAGGAAAAAGTTGCTTCAAATAGTCTGAGGAATCCGCCACTTTCGGATTGCGAGACATTTTTGGGACACCCTGTACATCACATATTCAGAAAACGTGTACATCAAAGAATACAAAGAAATAGTTACTTCAATTTGCGTTAATTCTTTGTACATCTCATAGCGAAGGAGAAAGGTCTCACTGTGAAACAAGTCGAAGAAGAGTTAATTCTCGGTTAACAGGTTAACGTTAGATTTACGGAGCACTGATTTACGGAGCACTTAGACTACGGAGCCCTATAAAAATAACGAGCATATGTTATGACTCAGACTTTTAGTAATTTCTATTATAATACGTGTCAGAGAGAGAGAGAGAGAGAGAGAGAGAGAGAGAGAGAGAGAGAGAGAGATGGAAGAAATTTATGAGACGTCGTAAATGTATTTTTATAATATCAAAAGTCGTAAATTAAAAAATCTGGAACGTCTCGGAATGACGCTATTGTCTACTTGAAAGGATCAACGCGTCAACAGGTATCCATAAAGTCTCAGAATCATTCGACAAATCGTCGCAAACGGTATGCCAGTATGACTCTAATATCTCCTCCTTTAGAGAAGAAGCGGCTTTCGTTAAGCTAGAGGAAGCCGTGAATAATAATCCACTCACCAGCATCTCGAATTCCTGGCCGGCTTCGAAGCCTCGCTGCGAGTAAACCATCCCCGTGGTCGGGTGGATCCTGAACTTGCCCTTGCTCCTGCCGCCCTTGATGCTGTACTGGATTTTTCCATTGTCGCCGATGTCTTTGTCGTTCGCGAGAACCTAAGCGTGCCAAAACAAAAGGTATTAGAAGTGGTACCGGGCCTCGGTTACCTGGTCGCCGTTCTTCATTCTCTACTAACATACCGTTACACGACACAGAGGAGACATTAGTATCGTGCGCGGCCATCGTCAGCTTGTACCCCCCAAAAAATAAGAGAGAAAAGTAGAGAACAGAAATCCTGAAACGTTCGCAAGGTTCAAGCTCGTTCTATGAATCCGGTTCAAACGCGTCCACGATGCCGGACAAAGTGGAACGTTCAATACATCTAAACGTTTCGCATAATTAGAAGAAAGTAATTTCGCATAATTACATTTTACACACCGTATGGATTGGAAACGATCTCTACAGCGAGCATTCCGAGCCTCGGGTTTCTAAATATCATCGATTAACCGGTTAGCTGTTTTTACGATTATATTCGTCGTAAAATAAAACGTTGCCATTTCTTCGTGACGAGTACAGTAATGTCTCTCTAATCGACGCTCAGATTGTCCACAGAAATGAACAATTTGGGAAGAGGAGATGCGATTACTCGAGCGTTGCAGCTCGTTTTTATAGTCGTTGACAATCGATAACCATAAAAAGCGAGTCACAAGGCACGAACAATCGTATCTTCTCTTCCCAAATTGTCCACTTTTGAGCACAATTTTTCACATATTTAAACGAAATATGAGGAAACTCAAACCTACACGGTATAATAACAATAACTTGCACCCTTCTCAAAGAGATCGTAACAGTTAACTGGTTTAATCATCGATTAAATATTGACGATAAAAAATTTGTTTCGTTCGATCGAGATCAGCTGAATTTTTCCGTTGTGTACCGATCTTTAAGCTCAATATTTATTAGGTCTACCGGAAATTTTTCTGCCCGTTTTTTCATAAAATTAGTAATATTTATTCTATATAATTCTATTCTATAATATTCTATAATATTCTATATAATTCTATATTATTTATTATATATAATTTAGTAATATTTCAATATAATTTCCGTCGTTACTTATGACCTCTTGCCAGCGTGATGGCAATTTGTGAGCAACATATTTCAAAAATATATGTCTCAAATGAATATGTGCGTATCTATTGAAATTTGCAACGACATTATCAGACAGAACTTTCCGGTAGACCTAATATTACGCTCAGTTCCGGGAACAAATTTTAGCTCGCGTAAAATGTGCGTCGTTCTTCTCTCGGAATAACTATGCGAAACACGACGGACACGTCGAACGTTCCGCGTCCGACACTGTACAGATTCCTTTGAAACACGTCCACTGAAACGAGCGCAAAAACACCAGTCTACCATGGACGACCAAGTCTCTAACAACGCAAATCTAAGAACCGGAACACAAAGGAAGACACAAGTCAAACATTCTCTTTCTAAGACGTCCCCCCGGTTCCGAGGTTCTAGAATTCCTCGATCTCCTCTCGGACGGATCGTGAACGTAAACGTGGCGCTCGTGACCTCGCGAAGCGTGGCATTCACAGAGAGAATTCGACATCATGCGGCTCGCGGGAAAATGAAAATTCGAAAGAGAAAGAAAGGTGGAGTTTTGATCCTCCTCCCGTCGACCATCGATCTGCGTCGAAGCGTATCGAACACAGATCTCGCTGTCCACGGGCGCGCGGATCGATCGCGCGAACACGGAACGGCGCCGGTTCGAGTCGATAGGATGCACGCGAATTCATCGGAGCCTCTCCAGCGCGTGAAAAAATGCATCTGTTCGTCGAGTGCAGTCCTCTCTGCTTCGCGCGAGGCAGCGCGTATACATTTTCCCAGGTGCTGGACGACTTTGCGGAGCTTTGCGACTCTCGTGCTGTTAGACGGTTCCCTTTCGAGGTTCTTTGATCAATTAGGTCATCCCATAGGTAAATCGTTTGCTCGTGTAGATCATTCGGTCACATTCGGCTATTCGCTCGGCACACGATTTCATCGGTGTTGATTTTGTTCGGTCGAACCTTGGCTTCCGTCGAGGTTCTTATTCGTGAGTTCGTGTTTTGTGTGGCTCACAGAAGTGTTCCAGACGAAGCTTAAAACCCATTGACAGTGTATCCCGTGACGGTCACGGGCAGAGCGTCAAGCACCAAACGGTTTATCCCGTGCCACGCACGGGCAGGGCAAGGCGTTCAAACTGTTTAGTCTACCAAAGATATCTGAGACTGTGGTTAGGTTCTTTGCTTCCTCTGTTTTCTAAGATTATTTTAAACGTGAAAAAACTAGATATTTCTTGGACCAGAATTCGTAATTTTACCACACTGTGAAAGGGTTAACGCGCGAAGCGCCGAGCCTGTTTTGCCTTCCTTTCGGTTCAGCTCGCGGCATAACATTCGCGTAATTTCCGTATAGCGTGTTTTAATAAGACTTGCTAAAATTTAATTTGGCAACAGATATTATCTAGGTACATTCCTTTATAATAATAATATATATAATATATATAATAATAATTGTTTAAATTGTATGTCGTCGGTCACCGATAACCGACACTCTACTTTCCGTTCGGAACGCGTCGATCATCGGTGACCGACGACATGTAATTTAAAAAATTATTATTATTATTAGGTCTACCGGAAAGTTCTGTCTGATAATGTGATTGCAAATTTCAATAGATACGCACATATTCGTTTGAGACATATATTTCTGAAACATGTTGCTCACAAATTGCCATCACGTTGGCACAAGAAGTCATAAGTAACGACGGAAATTATATTGAAATATTACTAAATTATATATAATAAATAATATAGAATTATATAGAATATTATAGAATAGAATTATATAGAATAAATATTACTAAATTTATGAAAAAACGGACAGAAAAATTTACGGTAGACCTAATATAAAGGAATGTATCTAAATAATACCTGTTGCCAAATGAAATAGCGAGTGGCGCTTAACGCGTTACTGGCTCGCGGTTGAATAACAATTCCACGAAATAGCTTGTCTGGTTAGCAGTTCTCAAAGTATTGCAGCGTTAACAAACGATACCGGCGAGTTAGATCTGGTAGGTATCTGTGTGAACAAGTCTGCGCGAGGGACCGTCTTGCACGATCATCGGAAACGTCGTATTATTTCGGTACGAATATTTTCCACGTGTCATTTCCACGTTTTGTGTATGCGAGCATTGTCCAGATGGTTTTGGTACACACCACCCACGACGCGAACGATCGCGAAGCGTCGACGTTTTTATCTGTCGTTAGCTGGGAAAAATGCAAACGCGTCGATGTTATCAACGGTACCATGAAAGCTTAATGCATCGTCAAAAGTGCAGCGAAGGTGAAGAAGATGAGAGAGAGAGAGAGAGAGAGAGAGAGAGAGAGAGATGTGCCAGAGTTGCAAAAGGGAAAGTGTAGTGACTTGATTGATGTTCCAAGAGAGACGAAGAAACGAGTTGGGGAGGTGTGAGCGAGAAATGGGATGACCTAAAGGCAACGCGTCGCATTAATTAGCGTTCAGTGGGAAAGGAAACGTCGAACCAGCCGCGAGGCGTTCCCTTTCTTCCCTTTCCTCCTGCGACATGCTTGTTGTCGGATCGTCCCGACATCGCGTTCCTTATCATCGTAGTCTGCTCCTCGAAAGAGAATACACGAAACATCGATCACAATAGCTGTTCGCTCGACGATGCAGCCTCGGGTCTAATAACCTCGGAGCGCGCGCGCGCGGAACGGAGCGGATAGTTATTAAGATCATCGATGTACCTATCTGCTTTCGAAAATCAGACTACACAGAGAGAGAGAGAGAGAGAGAGAGAGAGAGAGAGAGAGAGAGAGAGAGACCAACGGAAAAATGATCAGGCGGCAGCCCCGTACAAGACAAAGGCAAACATTCAAGAACATAACGTGTACACATAGAGACGAGCAGTATGGGCAAGACGCCACGGAGAGACTGGGACGAACACATACACAGGGTGGACGAAAAGAAACAGCCAGGGAGTGCGCGCGGTGCGAGTCCAAGCGATTTTCACCAAGAACATTCGAATACGATAGTTCCGCCATCGAAAATTATCGTGGATTTTAGCTACTTCGTTTTTATTATTTCGGAAGCTCTTATTAGAGAGAGAGAGAGAGAGAGAGAGAGAGAGAGAAACTGGCTTCGAGATAGTTGGGACAAAGCGCGACGTTATCGAGAAAAAACTGTAGCAGTGCTCCGTATTTAATTGAAGGTGTCAAATAAAATGGTAATAAACGGTCTGCGGATTTTATGCATTTACAGCAAAAATGGGTAAACAGAGAATAACGAAGACAAAGAAGAAGGGTTTTAGAATACCGCAGGATTCATTTTTACTATATTAACAATATTAAAAGAACAAATACATTTTGAAATTTTTATTTTGCATAAAGATTCGCGGTCTAGTCGCGCGTTCCTCGAGATTTAATGGAGCTTAATGCAGCGACATAAGCCACGAATCAGGAGTAAAAAAATTATTCAATTAGCCTTTCAATCTCGCTCGTTATATCGTATTTATGCGAAATGTTCGCTTGGAATCGCCTCGTGCACGATCTAAAGAGCCCGAGAGAGGGGTGTGTTGCATCGGGCAGGAGAAAAAGACGATCGATCAAATAACAGGAATGCAATGGCGGTCCTATGAAAATGGTCAGCGGGGTTGCATGAGAGTTGCGGTATCCATAATCGTAACGAACGTACATTCGATCATATATAGATATGTATATACACATATATACATATATATTATATAAATAGTAGGTATACACGAATACATAAAAGCGGTCATAAATCAATGCAAAGAGGTTTTCGCGCGTTCAGCTAGCCGAGACCAATTCCGCATTTGCTTATGTAAGAATTATGCTCCCGCGCCACGGTGCGGCGTTTAGTTTTACGTGCCAGCGTGTTCTTACCCTGAAGATACGATCTCCTGACAAGGTGTCGGGGCTAAATGTCTCCCAAGTTCCATTCTCTAGTAACGTATCGATCGAAAGGTCGTACTCCCGCGAGCGGTTCCTCGATTTCTGTCGAGAACCAGAGAAGGAAGGCTTTTAACATTCGCACTGTTCCCGGCTGACTCTCTCATCGTTCCGTTGCTGGGTCCCCGGCTCGTCGAAACAGGGCTCCGACCAGTCGATCCCGCGAATTGCTAAATCGTCGCGAAAATCGTCGCGAATACGTTAACGTACGACGGCAACGTTTCCTAGGACGTTCCCTCGCGCCGCGCCGCGCCGCGTCGCGGGAGAGCCATCCAACGAAATCGCAGCCGATCGTCGACGCCTGAATTGTCCCGCGATCGTTTTAACAACGGAACGGCTCCCGCTTTGATTGTAGTTCGTGATCCAGACCCAGGTTCTCCTCTCCCTTTTCGTCGACGCGCCTTTTATTCTTCCCGGAGCTCGCTCTTTATCTTCGAGAGGCATTCACCGCGATCGAGGAGGCTCTCCCGGTCGAGGACGTATAATTTTTCCGTTCGGTTGAACGACTCGTGTCCTCCGAAGATCGGCGAACGATCGAACCGTGGGTACCCGGGGCTTGCACGAGCCAAGGCACACGCACAATGGCCGCCACCGAAGCTGCGGAAACGGGCGGTCGGGAAACGCGATATTTGATTCGGTGAAATCGAATCTGACCTCGATGAAACACGACACTCGGGAGAAATTGTATTAAATATTCGAGGAGTGTTGTGAAATTAGTAGATCTGTTCGCGGCAAAATAATGAGCCGGCTTTCACGACCGTTAATGCACCGTCCATTAACGACCCGCGAATTTTGTATATCGCGTTCTGTCGGTCAAGCGATCGGATGTCAACGTTACGTTTCTCGATCATTTGCACTACTGCGATCGATCGGTATAGCGATGTCTCTCTAATTGACGCACAGATTGGCCACAAAAATGGACAATTTGGGAAGAGCAGATACGATTATTCGAGCCTTGCGGCTCGTTTTTATAGTTATTGACAATTCGTAACTATAACAACGAACAGCGAGGCTCGAACAATCGTATCTCCCCTTCCCAAATCGTCCATTTTTGTGGACAATTTGAGCGTCAGTTAGGGAGACATTACTGTACTTTGTAACAATTATGATAGTTCTCCGATTCTCTGTACAATAAATACTCCGTAATTGACGCTAGATTATGTAAAAAAAATTGACAATTTGGGAAGAAGAAATACGATTATTCGAGCCTTGCGACTCGTTTTTATAGTTACCGATTATCAACAATTATAAAAACGAGCCGCAAGAACTCGAATTAATCGTATCTCCTCTTCCCGAATGTTCCATTTCTGTACACATTCTGAGCGTCAGTAAGGGAGACATTACTGTAGAATGACCAAATTTGTACAATTTAACAAAAGTATAACAAAATTATTTAACACAATTTAACAAAGGTACGACAAAGTCCTACGCATAGTTTCAAATCAATGACGCCTTTCCGCTTCAACGAGACCCGCGGAGAAATCGGCATTCCGCGCCAAAAAGGAATTCCAGCCTCGACGCCGAACTCCGCAATCACGATCGCCGGGATAAAAGTTCAAGAGGTCAGAATCGATCGCAGGGTCGCGCTCACCTGAGAGTTCGTCCGAGCAGATTCTCGTTACCGTCGCCGTCGTCGATCATCGTCAGTCAGCGAAAGCCGACGACGCGCGGAACGCGTCGCTATTTAACACCGCCGCTCGTAAACGCGTGAAACGACAGCTCGGCGGATCTCCCGATAGTCAGCGACCGACGGTCGTCGCGTTGCTTTGATCACACGGAAGGGACGAGACAGAGAAGACTCCGGAGGGTGAACGCGGCTGATACCGACAAAGCGGGGGAGGATTATCGCGAGCAATCCGCTCTTTGTGGCCTCTGTAGGTACATCCGGGCGCTCGCTTCTCTGCACGCTCCGACACGCCGCGTGTTCGAGCGTTGTACGAAATCAAGACAGACCTCAAGCAATCGGCAACAAAACGGGGCGGGTCGACTCTTGCATCGGAATCACGCTAATTGCACAGATTTTCGCTATTTTTACAGGGGAGGCGTGTTGCTCGGGGCTATTGTCTCGCGACTGTGTCACAAGGCCGACGAGAATGGGCAATGCTGGTCGCGTACTTGCTTGGAACAAACGATAAAATAACTAACAAACGATACATCCATCTTACTCGGGAAAATTCTTACTCTTTTTTGGTAAATTCGAACTCATCGTTTCGATCCTCTTGATTGTGTTATCTATATACAGGGTGTTCCGAAAATGTCTCGCAATTCGGAAATGGGAGGTTCCTGAGGTCATTTGAAGCAACTTTTTCCTTTGCGGAAATTTTCTCCAAGGCTTCGTTTACGAGTTATCAACGAAAAACACTGGCCAATAAGAGGTGAGCTCGGCTGGCGCGCGGCGGCCCAGCCAACGAGTGCGCGAAGTCCAGTCCCGCGTCAAATGATCTCGCCTCTGATTGGTCACTGTTTTTCGTTAATAACTCGTAAACGAAGCCGCGGATTGCGTTTTCGCTAAGGAAAAAGTTGCTTCAAATCACCTCAGGAATCCCCTAGTTTGATACTTTATTCGGTAACGTTCGGTAGCTACTACTGATACTTTATTCGGTAATGTTCAATAGAAATGCATAAAACTCGAAATTAAAAACGAAATTATGGTAGAATCATTGGCAGTTCTAAAACAACGTAATAAAGCTATCACCATCGAAGAGTATCTAATCATTTGAAGTTTTCCTATCATAATTTTCTTTTTTCATGAATCTTGAAGCAAAATAAAAATCTTACATCTTTGCACCAACAGTGCAATATTTATCGGTCACCAGTGTAGCCCTTTTCTTCTTCCGTTTAACACGTTAAACTAAAAGTCTACAAATCACACGAAGCAGCAACGCGTTAAGAACCGTGTCTTCGGCAGCAGTTTGTTCCATCAAGAGCGCAATCAGCATAAAAGGCCCGCGCAAGCCGGGAGAGATCGACGAGCAACGCCGCGGAGTTTCATCGGAAAAAGTAGCAAACATAAAACTGTCCCGGGATATCGAATCGTGATACGATTTCGAGACCAGGGGCGCATTGATTGGCTCTCGGCTCACGCAGGTTCTCCGGCCTGTGTACGTACAATTGTGCGAGCGTTTCTCTCGCGGGACGTGGGTTCTTCTCGACGGGCGAACAGATAATATATACAGCACGATACGGGGGATGCTTCTACATGGTATACAAAGAGACAAAAGGAGGGAACGAGGTGGAAACGGGGCAGAATTCCGTGCTGTCCCGTTTCTCGATTTACATCGAGGGGTCGGCGAAAGTGCGATGCCATGTCCCAAATCAACTAGAAGGGCGGATAGAGTTACGAAGACCGGGGGAGGTTTTCGGCGACGACTTTGAGCGTGCGTACCTGGAACAGGGGTTTGTCGGTCGACGGAGAAGCCGGGATCTGTACGGTGTAGAATTTTTGTTCGAACTCGGGCCCATGATCGTTTATGTCAGCCACGGCGATCACCACGCGCGTTGTCGACGCCAGCGACGGCCTCCCGTCGTCCCTCACTGTCACCTGTAACAGGAAATTATTTCGCTCGTTAACAACTCGGTCGCTACTTTGATCTCTCTCTCTCTCTCTCTCTCTCTCTCTCTCTCTCTCTCTCGAAGCCATTTTAATCCTAAATCCAAAACAGTTTTCCTTATCTACCGAAATTGAGTATCGCGATTCGTACAACAGTTACACTTTTATCAGTTTCTTAAATGTAAGCAACTTCGATAATTCAGTGAAGTCTCCCTAATTGACGCTCAGATTGTGCATATAAATGGACAATTTGGGAAGAGATTATACGAGAGCCTTGCGGCTCGTTTTTATAGTTATTGATAATCGGTAATTATAAAAATCGAGTCGCAAGGCTCGAATAATCGTATCTCCTCTTCCCAAATTGTCTACTTTAGTGTACAATTTGGGCGACAATTAGGCAGACATTACTGTACAAAGATTAGTTTGATACACTAGCTTTTAGTGGCGCCTCAGAGTCATCGTCCGAGTGCAAAGGGTTAAATGCACGATTTTTCCAAAATTCATCAAACGCATACAGCGACTCGCATTAATATTGGGACCCTTATAATCGTCTGTTTTTAGTTCAAATTCTCGAAATACTGTGATTATCGTGATCTTTAATTGTTCACAATTCGTATAAAAATCAATCGATTTCGAGGAAAAATTCAGCATGCGTCTAAGTTACCGTCACAATTGCAAATAGAAAACTTGAAAAACAGGAGTTTTCTAGTCGCTCCAAGTGACAGCAAAATAAAAAAAAAGAAGTATCACAGTCATTGTCTAATAGCCTAGCCCTCCTGTCATCCAGAAAAAAATTCCAGTCATTTGGTCCGGTTTTAAAAAAGTTGTACCGTTTTCCTGTCCTTAAGTACACGTGCTCGTCTCAAAAAATAAAATTTCAATTAGCATTTGCTGCTCGCTTTCATTTAGCCTTTCAAGCCCGGAACAGCTTCCACCATGAACGTAGGGTCGGGGATTATCGTTTCCATTGTCAGAGTGGATGTCAGACCGTCCCGTGGCGGAGGAAGCAAATGGTACCAATCCGGACCAGTCGCGGAACGGAAACGCGAACTATGGCGTAGTTCTGGCCGCGGTAACGTAATATCTGGGAACGTTTCTCGCCCCGGCATGAGCTTCGCAGTCTTCTTCCATGGCGCGGTGCGTTGCCCCGCTTTTCTTTCATCCCACTTACCTTGGCCGTTACCTTCATCCGGCGCACACACCTTTCTTTTCCGGCATCGGCGCGGCCGAGAGGAGGATCCCTGTGGCTTTTCATGCGCGAATATCGCACGTACGATCTCCTGCAATCGTCGGGGCTGACCGGATTCGTCCTTTACCGATCGTAAAGGTAAAGGGCCGACGGGAACCTCGGGGGGACGCCGCCCCGGGGGAAAATTCGACATTATTTCTTCGACATGGAAACGGTTTCGCGACGATAAGGCTCGCCTTCTGTCTGTCTAGTCGATTGAGATCGCTACTGAACAGTCTTATTCCTGAAATTGACTCGCGCATATTTGCAATGTCGCAATACGAGTGCAACCCGCCGAACGTCCTTAATTCACATTCTAGTCTTCAACCTTGCTCTTTCCCTCAATTACGATGTGTTCTTACTTTTCGAGTAGACGCGACGCTACCGAGATACACAGGATGTTTCGTAATTATGTCAACACACGGAAATGGAAGGTGCCTGAGATGATTTGAAGTAACTTTTTCCTTAGCGAAAATGCAATCCGCGACTTCGTTTACGAGTTATTAACGGAAAACACTGACCAATGAGAGGCGAGCGCGGCGAGCTCGGCTCGAAGAGGGTGACGCCCACTTGCGCTGGTTGGCTGGGCCGCCTCGCGTCAGCCGTACTCGATTCTTATTGGTCACAGTTTTTCGTTAATAACTCGTCGACGGTGCCTCGGAGAACATTTTTGTAAAGGAAGAAGTTACTTCAAATAATCTGAGGAACCCGCCATTTCCGGATTGCGAGACATTTTTGAGACACCCTATACTGTGCGCGTTACTACAAGATGAAAGCAATGGGCACAGCCTCGTTCGAAAGTTTCGAGTGAAATAACGACACGTTTTGAGAAAGTATGTTGTTCCAAGGTTTCCGAAATTCGCGCAGGCTCGTCGTGTTATACCGAGAGAACAAATCCAGCCATGTCGCAAGGAACGCGGCAAGCTGTAACGCGCAGGAGTTAAAAGCAATTTCCAGCATAATTTCCAACATCAACAGTCAAAAGATTAATTTTCTTTCGCAAGTTCCTAGGGACGATGTCCCTCCGCGAAGTTCCATTTCGCGACGAAGGAGCCATCAGCGGAAAGTAAACGCGGGACACGCGTCGGATAGAAAGAATCGCAGAGACGTAAGAAATGTATACAGCAGGATTTTTTTCCGCGGGCAAACCCGAGATTCGTTGCTCGAGAGTATTTACTCATCGCTGGCAAACGGTTCAGCGACGCGGCCCCGTCTCGCCGAGCTAAATTAATGAAAATTGTTGCGCCTCCGAGGGGGGGACGCTATAAATCAACGACCATTATTTGTGGGATTCCTTCGGGCTTCCGTCCGAGTTGAACGCAGTTTCGCGGGGATCCCTTGACTAATTTACGTTTGCCGAGATCTCCCCTTTCGCTTCGGAATTTTTCATCCCTTTTGTGCTCTTCGAGGGGAGACAGCTGTTTAAAGCAATCGAAGGGTTCGCGGACAGAGCCAGCTCCCCTTTTCACGCATCTTTATTTCGCGATTTTATTTTGGATCCTACTAACAAGTGGTTCCTAATTAAAGTAACACTCCGACTCGCGTTCACCCATGCACGAGCATCGAAGTTATTAGCTCAGATTATATTAAATTAATTGTCACGCTAATCTGTTCGCATCTTCTCATTTTAATGAGAATCCGTAAAACGTAAGGACATCGAAGATGCATCTAATTGATATCGTACAATTTAACCGTGCTCAATTTCATCTGAATCAATTCTAAAATTCTTTAATTTTTGTAAAACTGTCGACGTAATCGGCGTGGCAGTCGAAGCGATAAGGAAGAAACTAGTACGAGAACAGATGGTGACAAGTTAACCCTTTGCACTCGAGCGGTGACTCTGAGGCACCACTAAAATTGTTATATGATATAAATTAATATATACATAATATAATATAATATAATATAAATTGTTATATATATAATTCAAGATAATTTTTATATTATCAAAATTTAGATATAAAGAATTATTAAGAGTCTAACTGTTGTACGAGTCACAAGACTAAATTCCATACGCATAAAATGCACTTTGTCATGTAAAATGGAAATACCATAAGTCAAAAAAATTAATTTACATTTACAGTTAAAATGGCTTCGAGCGCAAATTCCTACACAAATATTTCGTTGCAATAAACTGCAGCTATGCTATTTCTAAAATTCCTAAACAAATATTTCGTTGCAATAAAATGTAGCTACGCGCAGACAGCTGAAAAAATTAATTTACAAAAGTTCGATCATTTTCCGTAGCACGAAAGCGATCGCGAATCGACCATTCAAATTTCTCGGCATCGTCGCAGACGACCGTATGCACTTCCGTCGGCGGATGTGATTAAATATCGATCGCAAGGGCTGCTGGAAATGAGGCTGACAGTGTGAATAATTCCTTGGAGAACGCTTCGTGTCGCGTGTATTATCGGGCCGATGCGAATCAGCGAGATAAAAGAAACAGAGGACAAGGGCCGATCGAATCCGTGTCGAGCTCGGTCAGGATAATTGATAACTCGATATCGGCGAATCGATACGAGGGTTGATGTAACTGGGCCGCCGGACTATGTAGCGGGAGCGCAGTCACCTCGATATTGCTTCCGGCTATTTTTCGCGGAACGTGCCAACATGTAAAAACCGCGGCGGACATAAGAGAAAATAGTCACGTTTTCGACGTTGACGAAACAACAGGCCGGAGTAATTACGCTATATTCGATCACCACCGCGCTGGCTATGACAGTTCTCGATTGGCAATTCTATCGAATTCGGTCGGATGTGTTTTTTGCCCCACCGACAAACGTGTTATTCGTCCGCCGAGCTACGCGTTTCCTCGTCCATACCTGCTGTTTCGATCTTGACACACGGGGGATCTTGAAAATTATTTACAATGTCTACGAAAAGATATACTCGGACACCATTTCAAACGGTATAACTTTGTACGAACTGGACCAAACGACTGGAATTTGTTTGGAGACGGTCGAGAGACTGGTTTATTGTACAATGACTAAGATGCTTTCTTTTTTAATTTTGTTATTACTTGGAATAAAAAGCCCTCGTTTTCTTTAACTTTCTCATCTTAGCCTACTATAATTTTCCCTATTTTTAATTGTAGGTACAGCTCGTGACGAATTCTTTAAATTTTCGTTATAGGCTCGGGTAAAACCAGTTAAAAGACGTGAGCTTTCGATTTCATTCGTCGTTCCAAGTAATAGCAAAATTTTAAAAAAGGTATTGCAGTTCTTGTACAGTATAAACTAGACCCAGTAACTCCTCCAAATAAGTCAAGTCATTTGGTCCAGTTAAAAAAAAAAGTTATACTAACTAATAATTTCCAGCTGAGCATTTTTTTAAATAAATGCATAAAATCCGCGGTCTACCGACGAACAATGCGAAATCAACTAACGCAATTTTTGCCAATCTGCAAGAGTGTTTCGAAATACAAGAGCGCGCGGATTCCGAAAATACAACGCGAAAGAAGCGTGTCGCGCGGCCGCGGCCGGCGGGGACGCATTTTTCCATTACGACGAAGGCCAGCGAAATGGTGTTGGGCCCGGAATTTTCCGCGGAAAGTCGGAGAGCAAAGCGGTGTTCCGCGGAAATTACCGCGCAGCGCGAAAAGTTTGATCGGATTTAGTGTCCCGGCGAGCAAAGTACCGACGCGACGGCGCGCGATAAAAGTGCCGCGCGTGCATAAACATCTCTGCCGAAGTTTCGGTGTTTCTTTGGCTATCGATAAAGCGGAAACAGTCTCGAGAAATGAAATTCGCCCGGGGGTGGT